CGTTTAAATTTGTCATATATAAAAAGTAATTAATTAATAGTGAATGTGTAATGAGTTTCAGTTCCATTTTGCAAAAGTAAGTAGTTGTAAGTATAATATTTTGATGAGGCAAATAAAACTTTTAAAGTAATTTTCATTCCTATAAAATTTCAACTCTAACATTGAATAACTTTATATTATATGTATGCAAAATTTTTAACAATATTTGACTTTAGTTAGGAAGGAATAAGTTTATAATTTGTAAATCAGTTTTTGTTTACTTCAGTTTTGGGATTGGTTTGTACACGTCGAAGACTTAAGTTTCCATTGGAAAACTCAACCTACATATGTCTTATCACAAACTACATTTATTGTTGGTGGAATATTTACCTTTATTCATGGTAAGTACCCAATCTACTAGAATACAAATACGAAATTGTGAAAATTACTGCACAAATCTCTAACATTTTAGCGTTAAAGCACGGTGGTAGATTACCGTATTTGTGGTTTGGTATTATTTTACATGGGCTTATAGTTGAAGCATTATCTTATTTTTTACCGGACGTTGATAACTTTTGGCATTCTCAGACCCCTATAATTTTACTGGGAAGGCGTTTACCTCTTCACATTTTACTTCTTTGTAAGTTTAACACTTACAACCACGCGTAAATACTAAAAACTTATTTTTTTTTATTTCTTAATAAATTCAGATCCAGTGTTTTTGTACAATGCGTCTATTGCTGTTGCAAAAATGCGGTTACCTAAATGGTCAGAACCCTTTGCAGTCGGTTTAGGAGTTGTACTGATAGATATTCCGTATGATATTGTGTCTGTACATTTTTTGCATTGGACATGGCATGATACTGATCCAAATATAGCAGATAGGCACTACTGGGTACCTTGGAATTCTTATTATTTTCACGCAACATTCGCCGCAAGTTTCATCTTTTGGTTCCACTTTACAAGAAAATTAATTTGTAAAACTAAAGAAAAATGGCAACCTGATACGTAAGTAAAACACTGAAATATACTGGGTAAAGTGTTGGTCATACCATCATACGCACGCATACGAAAACCTAATTTCTTCCAGCTTTCCTAGAGAATTTGCATGTACCATTCTAACAGGCCTTTTGGGGGTGCCAGGAGGTGTTTTAATGTTTCTACCTATATATCATCCTCTACACGATAATTACAGAGTACATTCGGAAGTAACTTTTTTTATACTTTTCGCAATTTTTTTGCTTCTAATATGGCTTGGAATGCGTAATACAAATCAAAAAGAATTTCAAAAACAGGTCGAATTAGATTGGTCAACTGGTTTACTACTAGTACATTTGCTAATACACTATAGTCTTTTTCTAGCAATGACCATCTTTTTCAAACCGGAAGATGAAGTTGCGATTGGGTTAAAAGAACCAATTGGGTCCTGTGATGAGTATGTGGATGTTTATACTACTTTCGGGCAGGTATAATATCAATTTTTTCGCGTTAATTAAGTAAACCAATAAGCTATAACACATTCATACATTTCATTATATACCCCCAATAATATAGTACAAAATGTGCGAAAAATAGTAGAAAAGACGCTTAATCTGATCGCTATTTAAAGAAGTTACCAAATTTCATACCTTGTATAATTGCAGCATTTTGTTGGTGGATTACTAGAGCCGCCTATGAAACACTCAAAATAGTCGCACAAAATGTCTATTGTTAAAACACTTACACTTTCCGGAGAAAACATTTAATTAACCGGCCGTTATTAAAACGTACCATCTTTATTCGCGTCCTACAAATTACTGAAGGCACGTACACTGTTAGATCGTTTGTGTGTATGTATTTGTGTCTGTAACTCTGTATGATACCTTCAAGATATTCAAGAAAAAAACGTAAGAGATAAGACCAGACAAAAAACTGTTGACTTAATACCATTCTAATGGCAATGAATTCGTTTAGAATGAACAGTTTAAAGGCAAAGTAGCAGAAAAGAATGTTTGTTGTTTTATAAAAAAGGCATGAGGTTTACTTGAATAAATTAAGTATTAGATATACGGGGTGTCTTTTAGAAGCAGCAGTACAATTCTTTTTTATAAACGAAACTTTTGTGGATCTGTATTTTAGCAATTTGGAATATTATAACTAAGAAATTGACCTAACAGTTTGGAATATTATTTAAAAAAAAGTACTTTGAATTATAAATTAATAATACCCATTACATCTTCAAAATAATTTGTAGTATCGACATAACAAAATTTACTTTTATAAAATAAAAGCAAATTATATTTTTTTGATTTTAAAATAAAAATGATATATTGAAATATCATATTTAAGATAGTTTTAAAATAAAACCACAACTTTTTGGGAAACAACCATTTTATTAAAGAAAAGTCGTACACAAAATGACAATTTACAATTTAAATGCTTTGGAGGGATGGGGTGGTTTTAATTAAACTAAATGACAAGTCAAATACTAAACTAATCATCGCACATTCAAAAGAAGTATTATCTTAATTACAGATTCTGAAAAAACGAAAATATCTTTGTGCCACAGATTATAACGAAAAATATTTTGATTGGAATTGTTTGCCTGGTGGTAAGCCACCATCCAAGGGTTCCATTTGGTACACGGCTTGTGGAGTGCCCTTAACAAATAGGGTCGAGTTAATGGCGATTATTAGTACAATTTGGGTCTTGGGGATTACGATTTTCGGAAACCTACACCTTTTCTCAAATTGTGATCATTTATTTATTAAAAATACTACTATCCATTATAATAAAACTAAGTTGAAACACAAAAAGAATTAACTGTATAAAAAATAATTGAAATAAAGAGGTGAATTACAAGAATTGGAATATAATGCATGTATTCAAGTAATGACATTAAAATTTTATCTTTTTACCAGAAACACAGAACACTATTTAACGTAAAACTTAAAAGTAAAGTTACTTATATGTTATTCTTTTTTACATATTGTGTTGTTGTTCTTGTTAGAGCAGCAGTGTGCATGGTGCACCGATGCTACATTTAACAGGAACATGTATTAGAAATAATCTTAACAATATGTACCACCAGTCTGCTGTTGATATACTTCAATTGTGTCTCCTTCTTCCATTTCCAACGAAGTAGGAGTATCTGTCTCATTTATTGGGTTACCATCAAATCGAAAACGCACAACACCCATGCTCAAACCCTGTCAAAATAATACACACAAAATAAGCCACTATCATATTACTCATTTTTATAAAAATTTGGCGACCAATTTGTCAAATAATTCTTAAGCTGAGAATATTGTTACAAGGATTTACAGTCGACTCATAATTAATTAAAATTTGAGAGTATATACAATCTCATGAAATATCTTTTCTTTTCATTTAAAGAAATACCTTAATAAAGAGATGCTTTATTCATTGGTTAATTACTTATTATTTTTAAGCAACATTTTACATGATACCACAAATGCAAAAGGCACAATTGATTCATGATCAAATTAGATAACCTTCTTCATGACTGTCACGAATACAATATTCCTTCTTTTTTGTAGATAGAATCATTGTAACATGTTATAAGATACATAATGTTTTTTAGAGAAATCAAACATAATAAAGCATGGACTATTTGGTTGAGAAGGACTATACTTACAGCACGGTCACAGTATACATTCATAAGTTTCCTAAGAGGTGTGTGTTTCTTGATTTTAAATTGTACAACAGTATTGTCTTGTCCCAAAACTTTCACGTTGATCTGTTCAGCTTCGTTACCCTACAATTAAAAAAAAAAGCATTTAAAAGCCACGATCTTGGTTAGAATTTCAAACTTGTGTTTACCTTTTTCTCGTCGCTCATTGTGCTAATTCTTGAATATTAAATTTAAATTAAAGGAGATTCACTGTTAACTATTTAACGTAGAGCACTATTTTTTAGTTTAAACTTGTACTTAACAAATTATCGGCCCTTTTGTTAAGTTCACAAGCGGCGTTGTGTTCTATGAATAATGGCCGGCGCAAATGTTAGCATGTATAGTGTAAGCGTACGCGCGAGAATAGGCAGGAAGCATCAGTATTGGCTGGACTCTTCTTTTTGTTAGTGTACAATTTTTGTGGGAAATTGATTTTTATAACAAACGAACATTTAATATAAAATATTGGATAATTAAACGGAACCAAACAAACTAACATTATTTTATATATAAATTCAGAAACTGTACGATCATTTTCTTTTATTTTTGAGAAACATTGCTTTCCCGCTTAAAAATATGAATTTAAAATTATGCTAGAAATGATGTTTAAGATTTTATTAATTTTAGAAAAATGAGGCTTAAGAATGGTTTAAACGATATTAGAACGAAGTCGTGATTGACAAAACATTTTTTTAAGTTATATTTTCATGATACAAAACGTATTTTTAGTTCGTAAGTTTTGATTCAGTATAGTTATAATTAATTTATTTTCAATTACGAATTTACTATAATTGAGTAATTCCTTATCTTGCTAAATTTGTATTTGTAAAATTGATGAATAATTCAATGTATAAAGGTGTAGCCATTATTCTAATGTTACATTACATAATTATTACTTCACAAATATATTTAAAACTCATCTAAATTGTACCAATTCCTTTACACTTAAAGTAGTAGTAGGAAACAAACGCATTTTTATTAAATTTATAAACTACAGTTATAATTTATTGTACAGTAAAAACATATAATATCATGTTATGCTATTCTCAACAATTAAATTAACGAATTAATACTAAATTAAGCATGAACTAATACAAATATCTATTTTAAAGGGTATTATTGTATAATTGCTAAAAACACGTATTCTGTTAATTTTTGTGAAATTGACGAAATCTATAATGTATCTCGTTTCAACGAACGAGTCTATCAGTTCACTAACACATTTATGAACATCTGTGAAATCTATGGCTGTGGATAAGAAAAAGAAAACTTTGAGTGAGTAGTTATTTGTAAGTTATGTATAAGTATTGCAAAATAGTTTTGGTTTGTGTACAGTAAAAATTATTTATTGACTGAAAGAGCAACTTTCCTTTTATTGAAAACTACGTGTATGTATAAATTGTAACACATACGAAAATTAATTCCACTATTCTGTCTAGTTACATATAATTTGAGGTTAACCAGTTGTATTTTCAGATTCTTCAAAATGATCATTCCTGTTCGTTGTTTTACTTGTGGGAAAGTGATAGGAAATAAGTGGGAAGCTTATTTAGGTCTTCTACAAGCTGAATATACCGAGGGTGATGCTTTAGATGCCCTTGGATTAAAACGTTACTGTTGTAGAAGAATGTTACTTGGACATGTGGATCTTATAGAAAAATTATTGAATTATGCTCCCCTTGAGAAATGAACACCGTTGAACATTTGTTTAATTAAATAAAGTTGTGATAATTTAATTTAAAACGAAATGTGCTAGTAAACATTTTACATATTTGAGTCTGTATAATATTAAGGATTAAGGATAACTAAGATATTGTAACAATATTACATCTAATATAACAGTAAAATTAAAATATAAGAAACTTTATTTCTTAATTATTTGTATTTGAATTTTAATGCAGCTAAGTATGCACTACATGTCAAAAGGCCTAGCTAAGCTATATTTTAGTGAATTTAGATTTTTCATCATTTAGCAAATTTAGCATTGGTTACCACTAATAAGCTCATGATTAAAAAACTGTTTTAAATTCTACTTGGGGTTTATTTTTACTAATACAAATCAATCGTGAGGAATAATTAGATAAGAATTCAATCTTTACATTTGGGCATATTCAGAAAATTGCAGTGTAATAGCGAAATAATTTTTTGGGCTCATACGGTTAACTTAAATGCTACTAAATACAAAGTAGAAATTGTGTTTAAAAAAACTTGTCTGTGCGTCTGTACTAGCTAATTTTTGAAATGACTGAGTATTAGTAGGATTTTAGAGACATGAAGAGTAGGTTATCTTCTAGACAATTTTTTAAAATAGTTTATTGTTTACAGCAATTGTATTTATAATAAATTATTAGAAACAGGTATAATAACTTGCCATTTATTATCATTATTAAATAATAATAGGTGGAAAAGTTACAAGTCAGGAAATTGTTTTTAGACAAATATTGGCTATACGAGTCAGTTAGCAGTCATTTTGACTAGATTTTAATTAGGTACCTGAAACTTATAATAGGTATGTTAGGGTAATTTTAGTTGTGATATTTTATTTTTAGATTAGACCCTGTATTCGTTTGTTAAAGCTTTTATTCCTCCTTACATTGCTGTGTTAAAAATAGATATTAAAACAAGTTCTCCTTCACAATGACCTTGCTCCTATTTGATTAGTCGTACCATTCACGACTATTTTGTGCACCACAAAAATCAGTAAACAACGGGAAAGCTTTACCTTACTTATTGTTCTCTATTTTGTTTCTAAATAAACATTCTGTTGCACAAGAATTGTACCGAAAATAGTTAGGGTAGGTTCTAGTTTGTTGTTTGATATCTACATTGGTTCGTAACTGGGAAGTGTGAGACTTGTTTAAGTTTTTCTCTATATCTTGACCATTATCTCAAATTTCAAAGAAACTGATAGTGTTTGTGCGTAATGTTTTCATCGAAACGACAACTCAGGAATGATAAATAAATCAGGTAAGATTTACTGCAGTCTTCTATTTAATTTTTTACGAAAGTTGAATAAATAATATCCCGATCCAGTTTAAATGCTTTTTATATTTAATAAATAAATAATACGTGGTTTTTTTTTTAAGAAGTTGTGAACAACATACTTTCATTCAGAGTTAAATCAAGAAAAATTGCCAAGTAGATTTTATAGGTATTTATTGTGAAAATAAGTAATTTTGGTATTTACAGATTAGCTATAACTACTTATTGAAAAATTTACAAATCATATCTCTCCACGTTCTTAAATGTGTTTTCTTCTATTTATAAATATTTGTTATTGTTTGCTGTATTAAGTACTTTTTAAAATATGTGTATATGTTTGTCAAAAAATGTTCCCATGCAATTCAAACGAGAAACCTTTTAATTGAACTGTAACGAATATTTACTTTGTATATGTTACTAACTAAGCTAAAACTGAGCTTAAAGTATGTAACTAATTTATGTATATGTACTTTATAACAAACTACTTGCTTATAAGTACGCACTACGCTCCCATCATCTTTTTAACTGAATATCCGGGAATGGAGTAAACAAAAAGTAAAATTATAACTGCCAAACCGATGATTATCGTCAGCTTCAGTATCGTCCATTTGTAGTTGTGCCACAAAATGTATCTTATTGATTTGAGGGGATTCATAAACCACATGAAGGATGAATCTGGACGACTGAAAAAATAAAATGTACATTTTACTCCTTATTCCAACTGTAAGCAATCGACATAAGTTAATTCAATAAGATAGATACACTTTATAATTATTGCATCAGAATAATAACAATTTCTACGGCCGGAAAGTATCTTCATGGAATCGCACTGTAAAACTGATGGTACCATTGGATNGTTACTGACCTTTAGAAACATTGTTTGTACTTTCCCGCATATCTTTCCACATTCTTCATCCACTATTGAATAAATTATATCTCGGGCAGATATTCTTTGGTAAGCTTGCCTTTTTCCACCACTTATTAGCCAAATAAACACGTCAGGTAAAGAATGCTGGGGCTGAAATAATAATAAGAAATTATTTTCAATTGTCGCGTAAGTAATAATTGTATTAACACTTACATTTTCCATAATAAATTTTAGTTTGGCCAGATATTTTTGTGCCGTTTTGTATCTTTCTCTAATGGAACTTTTGGTAACGACAGCTTTTAGGTTACGAGATGTAGCACCAATATTTTCCTAAATGTAGTTTTTGATATTAGACATTATTTTCAAATGGAACGCCATTGAACTTACGATTTCCCTTTGACAAAGCTTCGTATATTCTTTATCCAGTTTCGTTTTTCCGTTTCCCGGTGCCGAAGACGACCCTTTCGTGATAGAAACGTATTTGTTGCAGCCCATAGAAAGTTCGTCTAGAACTTGCTTCAAACGAGTTTCAGTATTCGGGTTTTCGGCTTCAATCATTGAATGAACCTCTAGTAACCCTTCTTCCTATAAAGCATTTTGTAATACGAGATTATTGGTTCTAATATTTTATTTTACCAGTTTTTCGACTATTTTGACAATGATGTTGGTGTTGTACATTCTTCTTCGATGGTCGGGCCAAATAGATCGGACATGCATGCAAGGCTTGTCATCCCAGTAAGGAAGGAAGTAATACAGTCGATCATGGGTCATGGGTTTTGTGGGAGATGTTGTGCTTTGCCAAGAACCACCATCACTAACCACTGATTCTAAAATAATTTGCTCCTCAACAAGAAAACCGTTTGCTATTATTAATTCTTACCAATTTCCTCTTGGTCAGAAATGTTAATTTCGGCGTTGTACGATTCGTTTTGGCCATCAATTACGTTTCCGGCATTTCCAATACTGATTTCGAAATACACTGGTTTCTCCCCGATTTTCTTGTCTATCATTGTGGCTTCTAGAATCGATGCGAACAGGAAGAATTCGTCGTACTTTCCATACGCAGATTCAGAAACCGATGTTGTTGGTTCCAATTCGACTTTCGAAGGAGAAAAATCGATCGTGTCAGTTATTTCGGTTCTCAAAGCAATGAAGAGTCTTGCTCTGTACGAGACACCTTCCCCTAATCCGATGTTGAGATTATAATGTTCATCTATGATGCTGTAATCTCTCGTGGAGCCGTACAGGTGTATGAAGGAGGGACCGAAGGTAGGAAGAAAGCCTATAAACATGGAAATTGGAGAGAAATATAACTTCCAGAACACTATTTCACTACCTGACAATCTCACCCTTCTCTCCGTCATTAGCTATTGTCTTCAGGTCTAGGTAATGGGTCCCTATAATTTTCGGATTGACGGGATCGTAATCGCGCAATTGAATTTTTATTCGTTGACACAAGGGAGGAAACATTTCGGTGAAGACTAATTGTTCGTTCCAAACTGGAGAATAACTGTTCTTTTTTACACTCGTTTTACCCTGAAGAAAACAAGGCAGCCATTATCATGCTTCTACATATAGAATTATTACATGGGGACGTCCAAATTTAAACCGAGCTCCATTTTTCATAATTTATTGGAAGTACATAAAATAACTGTTTTACTTTTCTATAGTTGAGACTACCAAAATTGATCTTCTTCATTGGTAACGTCTTCTCTTATCAGAATATAACTGACAACAGTAGTTGTAGCTCTCACCTGACGGTATCGATGGGAACATGGGCATTGTTAAGGGCTTCAGCACCATAACTTGTGGCCGAAAAACTGTTACAATAAAGTAGCCGAAATAAATTTCTAAATGCCGAAATGAGGGACTTCTTATGGTAAAAAATTAGGAGCTCATAAATTATCAAAGATATTCATTATTGAATGCTATCGTGCTAGCTTCATGTAAAGCCAGTAATGAGACCCTAATTTTCTATCTTGGCACTAAATTAGCTCCTAAAAACTTCTTAATTTCGGTCACTCTTCTGCTTGCATCACTTTCTAGACCATATCTTCACCTACCATAAAAATCTTAGACTTGAAATTGGTATTTTTTTTGTTACAGATATATCTGGAGTATCCGGTTTAAATTTGAACATCCCCGTACTTCACCTACCGTAAGTCCAGCAAATGAAACTTGAACGAATGGACTAACGAGGTCATTTATTTCTCCAGTGAACGCTTTTTTGACATTGGCCATCAATGAAGAATTCATTTTCGGTAAGCCATCCGCCCTGTATATTTTTAATATGAAGCGCGCCCTTTGACGATCTATTGGAACTCCGTCCGGCAGAAGAAGATTTCTAAATTAATTTAAGAAACACACGTATAATTACGTAAAAATTTATTGAGTATTGAGTACGTATCAGGTATAATACACATTGACATTCCCAGTGGTTAACATTAAATATTAATTTGAAAATTCAATTCTCCAAATTAATGATAAAAAAAGTTTTTTGTGGCTGATGTCACGCCCTCGCCGGGAATTGTATCTTCCTCAAGTCACACTGTAAAACTGATGGTACCATTGGATTCTACATACTTTTTTACATATCCAAATACTTTTATAGTTTACTGAATCCTCTTTATTTCGGAAAAATTCAACGAACGCGTATTCAATTCCAGTAATTGTAGTATTGTACTACAGATGGCGCGTACTGCGCCATTTGTAGGATATCATAGTATAAATACATATTTATTTACAGCAGTTTCCATAGGTCTTTTAAAGTTATCCCACCACCTTCCTCTAGTTTTTAAAGAAAGCGTCTTGTATGAAGTAAGAGTAAATAATGTTTGTGATACATAAACTGTTGTAATTTTTTTGCTATTGTTATGGAGTTTGAATAGGTTAGTTAGTATCCCTGCAACTATTAATTATTTCAAGGAAGTCCTTACTTGGGTTTATCTAGCGGTTCCGGTTCGTTTCTTCCTAGACCCACCGGATTTTTCTCAGCTTCNATTCTGCATGCTTTTTTACATATCCAAATACTTTTATAGTTTACTGAATCCTCTTTATTTCGGAGAAATTCAACGAGCGCTTTTTTTTGAGTTAAGCAATTTTCATTATTTTGGCGTAAAACACTGCCGGAAACTATCTTCTTCAAGTCACACTGTAAAACTGATGGTACCATTCGATTCTACATACTTTTTTACATATCTAAATCATTTTATAGTTTACTGAATCCTCTTTATTTCGGAAAAATTCAACGAACGCGTATTCAATTCCAGTAATTGTAGTATTGTACTACAGATGGCGCGTACTGCGCCATTTGTAGGATTTCATAGTATGAATACATATTTATTTACAGCAGTTTCCATAGGTCTTTTAAAGTTATCCCACCACCTTCCTCTAGTTTTTAAAGAAAGCGTCTTGTATGAAGTAAGAGTAAATAATGTTTGTGATACATAAACTGTTGTAATTTTTTTGCTATTGTTATGGAGTTTGAAGAGGTTAGTTAGTATCCCTGCAACTATTAATTATTTCAAGGAAGTCCTTACTTGGGTTTATCTAGCGGTTCCGGTTCGTTTCTTCCTAGACCCACCGGATTTTTCTCAGCTTCTTCTTTCGTCAACAGGTGTATTTCTGCCTCAACTTTTCCCGTCAGTTCCAGATCTTCATTTTCTTTTTTAACGTAGAACGGCCACCAACCTTTCACCCTTTTCTGTTTGAATATATTTACCATTGGAACGGTCGCGTCGTTCCTCAACATGTCCAAAGTGCACAATTTCGACGATTTTGCCCCTCGGGGAAATTTATTGAGATCCAAAGTTATTGCTCCTAAAATTTTGCTAGAAGTTAAGTTTCCGATTCGCAAATAGTAAACGTAGATGTTTGCATTTTTACCTAAGAAATCGTCAGCTGAAAAATGATCTGCATCCCATACTTGAAGCTCCATGCGTGCCGGAATTTTACATTCGGTTTCGTCCCATGAGAAAAGGGATTCCTTTTTCGAAATCACTATTTTCTGTTCGGCCACCATGTAATCAAAGGGGAAGACAAATCTCCAATTGAAATTCCCCTCTCCTGTTAGAGATCGGTAATGAATATCTGTACATTGGCAGTCTTCAGAGCTCTTCAACCATCTGAAAAAAAAAACATACGTAACATTATCAATTTTTATGTGTTCTGAGGTGGCATGTACCCTTTTACGTAAATATCGGACATTTTCTCCCCCGTAAAAAAGGCGTCATCTTCCAAAACGACTTCGTCAGTGTTCCATATTATCACTCTCATTTCGTAACTCTTTGGTTTCCTCGGAGAGATGTCCAGGGCCGCCGCAGGAAGAGGCATGTCCATGGGGAACATGTCTACCCATAACTCGATCTTCCCATGCTCGATCCCCGGCTTGTTGGGGTTGTACAAAGGTCGAGTTTCGACATGTTCCGGGACCAGGTGACACCCAATTCTTGGGAACTCATGCCACCTGTGTAAAACTGCAAGTGCCATGTGCTCTTCCACGTTTGGTGTACTGTAGAAATCCATGTCGTCGAAATGGACCGAAAAATTCACGTGTCCAATTTGAACGTGACCATCGGTGTAAACAGGTGGGTCCACTTTGCCTTCTTTGCAAAGTTTCGATAGAATTTGCGTCGGTTTCAATGAATCTCTCCACGTATTGTATCCTTGCCTGAAAGAGAGAGTGTCGAACACATTGATAAACATTTTACCGTCAGGCAGCTGATATTTACTCCTCGTATTTTTCTGGAATCCCACAGGTGCCTCGGTGCCTGCTATAAAACCTGTTTTCCAAATCGATCTTTGTCTCTCCAATCATATCGTCCGATCCGACTAAATCCCAGTCGTAAATTTGAACGGTGAGCATCGAATCCTGTGGGAACGTAGCTTCGAATTCGAAACATCTACAGCAAAATCCATTTTCTTATTTCTTCTTATTCGAAAGATATGCATGAATATTTGTCACTTACTTTCCAAATACCGGATTCAGCTGCTTCGATACGTAATTGTCCTTGTCGCTTACTCTTTTAGATCCCAGTTGAAGGACTATGTAGGGATCGGCTTTTCCATTGTAATCCATGGGATGAAGGTCGTTCGCTTTGACTACGTACACTCTTACTAAGACGTGGATGGGTTCGTTTGACGGCACCCCTTGGAAAAACCCGTATTGGGGATCGAACCCCATAACTGTGTGATGTTCTACGTCTTTTGGTAGAGGCCACTTGTAAACTTTTATGGAACCCTACATGTTTTTAATATTATCACAACATTGTAACATTTATGTACTATACCTTACCTTAAATGCTCCAACAATTCTGCTTTCGTCTTCGGTGTCATCGCCGGTTTTTTTACCCCGGTACAACTCAAATGTATGGAGCCATTCCTTGAACCCTTCAAATTCAGGAACACACTCGAGTTCTGAAGGATAAATCTTAAAAAAAATTAATTAGAGTACTGTGTTAATTGTGAAGGATTTGAAATAATTACTTTACAAAGTGCTGGTTTCTTTTTAGGTTTGAATTTTCCGTGTCTTGGACTGACTTTTGTTGCTGTTTTGAAACCAAATATTTTCTTCTCGGGACTTTTGTCTAAATTCATGGAAAAAGTGCTGTTAATTCTTCCCACATTCCCATTAGTTAAAGTGTTAAGATTCCCGTTTTGATTGCAGGTCTTTCTAGCTTCCTTGCACTCGCTTATCATTTCTTCAACTGACGCGAAATATTTAGTCCACCAGTCTCTTCCTTCGACTTCGTCGTCACCTTCAGTTTCCGCACTGTGCTTCCTTCGTTTCTTGACTTCCGATTTCGACTTCTTCTCTACGTGACTTGTACCGTAGTCGATGGTTATTGCAACGTCTTTTGGAAGCAATGGGCTTCTTTCTCTGGAACTGCCTAAATCTGACGACGCCCCCAAACAGTTCTGTTGGTAATTGGGTCCGCATTCTATGGTGCGTAAGTCGAAGATGGATTGTTGGTCTTCGGATTCACGTTCTTTTTTGTTCGATGGGCTGTACATGTATTTTTGTATCGAGTTTATTATATGGGTACCTACTAAAGTGTATCTTCCAAAACTTCGACAGTCCACGGCCCTTATGGTGAGCGGTGGCCTGTAAAGTTCCTGTTCTGGCAGTTCTAGATCTAAAAATTTAATTGGTGTGCTGAAGTTTGGATTCTTTTTAGCGTTTTGTATCACAGACGAATAAAGAATATGACCAGCACATTCGATATCTACTCTAGGTTTATCTACGGTTAACAAATGGACCCGTTTCAGGTCGCGTAAACCCCAGAAGAGCACTTCGATCCTATATTTGCTTAAAGTTGGTCGAATTCCTCGAGGAACTGGAAGAAGCGGTACTGCATTTTGTTGCTGGTCCTCTTCCCCGACAAAAGTGCGTTTAGGGGATGGCAAGGGAGGTAACGTTATGTCTCCATCGTTTGACACTTCTATTAATTCAAATGCTGCCAATAATTCACCAGCGTGGTCGCTACCTCTCGCCAAATCGAACCATTCCAAACTTGTAGGAAATTTTGGTTTGCTGTACATTTCGTTGGCCAATTTGACGTGTGGTTTCGCGATTGCCCGACCAATAAATTCTGCCTTTCCAACCTTATCTTGGTCGTAAATCTCTATTATGATTGTAATGGGATTGACTTTGAGTTCATTAGCTGCTCCAAACAGAAGGATGTCGTCGAATATGAGTAGCTCATCCCATGTTGGACTTAAGGTCTCGTCTATGACCTGCGTTGTTTTACTATACTCTCCGGCTATTATACGGGCAAAAGGATCAGACAATCCTGAAGCGTCTGAACCGATCAAGGACCTCGCTTGGTAGACGTAACATCGTAGTTGAAAGATCTGAAAAAAGTATTTTATGGTTAGCATTTTTGAAAGTAGAACGGATAATTTTTTTACGTGTTTTTCTACGTAATGAATGGTAGTGGGTGGCAATGCTTTTGGTCTTTCGGCGTTGCGAATTTCGTTCGATATCTCGTATCCTTTAATAAGGCCACTTAAGAAATGTTTTTTGTGTTTTAATAACCCAAGCCACAAGTAAATGTTTAGTTTTGCTGGGATCGTCCAACCGCTTTGTCCCGAGCTCCTTTTTCCTGGGAGCTAAAGTAAATGTTGAATCACATATAGGTAGGTGTTGTAATGCTCATCTTTGTTACTGACCTTTAGAAACATTGTTTGTACTTTCCCGCATATCTTTCCACATTCTTCATCCACTATTGAATAAATTATATCTCGGGCAGATATTCTTTGGTAAGCTTGCCTTTTTCCACCACTTATTAGCCAAATAAACACGTCAGGTAAAGAATGCTGGGGCTGAAATAATAATAAGAAATTATTTTCAATTGTCGCGTAAGTAATAATTGTATTAACACTTACATTTTCCATAATAAATTTTAGTTTGGCCAGATATTTTTGTGCCGTTTTGTATCTTTCTCTAATGGAACTTTTGGTAACGACAGCTTTTAGGTTACGAGATGTAGCACCAATATTTTCCTAAATGTAGTTTTTGATATTAGACATTATTTTCAAATGGAACGCCATTGAACTTACGATTTCCCTTTGACAAAGCTTCGTATATTCTTTATCCAGTTTCGTTTTTCCGTTTCCCGGTGCCGAAGACGACCCTTTCGTGATAGAAACGTATTTGTTGCAGCCCATAGAAAGTTCGTCTAGAACTTGCTTCAAACGAGTTTCAGTATTCGGGTTTTCGGCTTCAATCATTGAATGAACCTCTAGTAACCCTTCTTCCTATAAAGCATTTTGTAATACGAGATTATTGGTTCTAATATTTTATTTTACCAGTTTTTCGACTATTTTGACAATGATGTTGGTGTTGTACATTCTTCTTCGATGGTCGGGCCAAATAGATCGGACATGCATGCAAGGCTTGTCATCCCAGTAAGGAAGGAAGTAATACAGTCGATCATGGGTCATGGGTTTTGTGGGAGATGTTGTGCTTTGCCAAGAACCACCATCACTAACCACTGATTCTAAAATAATTTGCTCCTCAACAAGAAAACCGTTTGCTATTATTAATTCTTACCAATTTCCTCTTGGTCAGAAATGTTAATTTCGGCGTTGTACGATTCGTTTTGGCCATCAATTACGTTTCCGGCATTTCCAATACTGATTTCGAAATACACTGGTTTCTCCCCGATTTTCTTGTCTATCATTGTGGCTTCTAGAATCGATGCGAACAGGAAGAATTCGTCGTACTTTCCATACGCAGATTCAGAAACCGATGTTGTTGGTTCCAATTCGACTTTCGAAGGAGAAAAATCGATCGTGTCAGTTATTTCGGTTCTCAAAGCAATGAAGAGTCTTGCTCTGTACGAGACACCTTCCCCTAATCCGATGTTGAGATTATAATGTTCATCTATGATGCTGTAATCTCTCGTGGAGCCGTACAGGTGTATGAAGGAGGGACCGAAGGTAGGAAGAAAGCCTATAAACATGGAAATTGGAGAGAAATATAACTTCCAGAACACTATTTCACTACCTGACAATCTCACCCTTCTCTCCGTCATTAGCTATTGTCTTCAGGTCTAGGTAATGGGTCCCTATAATTTTCGGATTGACGGGATCGTAATCGCGCAATTGAATTTTTATTCGTTGACACAAGGGAGGAAACATTTCGGTGAAGACTAATTGTTCGTTCCAAACTGGAGAATAACTGTTCTTTTTTACACTCGTTTTACCCTGAAGAAAACAAGGCAGCCATTATCATGCTTCTACATATAGAATTATTACATGGGGACGTCCAAATTTAAACCGAGCTCCATTTTTCATAATTTATTGGAAGTACATAAAATAACTGTTTTACTTTTCTATAGTTGAGACTACCAAAATTGATCTTCTTCATTGGTAACGTCTTCTCTTATCAGAATATAACTGACAACAGTAGTTGTAGCTCTCACCTGACGGTATCGATGGGAACATGGGCATTGTTAAGGGCTTCAGCACCATAACTTGTGGCCGAAAAACTGTTACAATAAAGTAGCCGAAATAAATTTCTAAATGCCGAAATGAGGGACTTCTTATGGTAAAAAATTAGGAGCTCATAAATTATCAAAGATATTCATTATTGAATGCTATCGTGCTAGCTTCATGTAAAGCCAGTAATGAGACCCTAATTTTCTATCTTGGCACTAAATTAGCTCCTAAAAACTTCTTAATTTCGGTCACTCTTCTGCTTGCATCACTTTCTAGACCATATCTTCACCTACCATAAAAATCTTAGACTTGAAATTGGTATTTTTTTTGTTACAGATATATCTGGAGTATCCGGTTTAAATTTGAACATCCCCGTACTTCACCTACCGTAAGTCCAGCAAATGAAACTTGAACGAATGGACTAACGAGGTCATTTATTTCTCCAGTGAACGCTTTTTTGACATTGGCCATCAATGAAGAATTCATTTTCGGTAAGCCATCCGCCCTGTATATTTTTAATATGAAGCGCGCCCTTTGACGATCTATTGGAACTCCGTCCGGCAGAAGAAGATTTCTAAATTAATTTAAGAAACACACGTATAATTACGTAAAAATTTATTGAGTATTGAGTACGTATCAGGTATAATACACATTGACATTCCCAGTGGTTAACATTAAATATTAATTTGAAAATTCAATTCTCCAAATTAATGATAAAAAAAGTTTTTTGTGGCTGATGTCACGCCCTCGCCGGGAATTGTACCCGGAATCTTTTCGAATCCGAAGAAATATTGTTAGTGACGGTCAAAACGGCCCATCTGATAAAATTGAGAATGAATTTTCAAATTAATATTAGGCATTAAAAAAAAGGCGCTTGTATATCATTTAAAAATAATGACGTAATGTTCCGGGCGAACTTTGTGCTTTTAAGTCAACCTTTGACTTTGTAATAATAAGTTAAGGAAAATTTAATGCTCTGTATAAAATCCATTTAAAGTTTTTCGGAGCGTTCCCAGTTGCTACGTCTAGTTCCCATTTCCCTTTAAATTGGTAAAGTTTGCTATTATTATCACCTGTGGCACATAATAAGGACTTAAACGATTTTTAGAAGAAATAAAAAATAAGTAATAATATTAAAATTTACTTTTCCTCAAATCTTTGCGAGTCTATTTAAAGAAAAATTTTTGTAGGTCTAGGTATCTACCTACAGATTTTAATATTTACACTTCTTTTGCGTGTTACTTACGTTACAGAAAAAAAAGTAAAAAGTGCTATTTTTAGCAATTTGCTTTTAGTAATTTCGTTTCTAATGTAAATTCATAATCAATTTCTTCTACGTACTTAACAATTCAGTCACGGTTTTCTTGTTAATAACGTAGCATTAAACAGCAAATTGTTTTTTTTTACTGCCACTTCACCTATTTACTTTTCACCTTGCAATAGCTACCTACTGATATTATCTCATATCAAAAACTATTCCATTAAAGTAAGCAGAATAATCGCTTGAATAAGTAGAATGATTTGTTTCTGGTAGGTAGGCTCCATATTTGCAGGTAAAGCATAAAAATAGGTACCATAAGTGATTGTGAGACATTTATAAAACAATTTTTACGAAGAGAACACAAATTGAATTACGGAAATTTTATTATTTTTATGATGGATTGGGTGTTGTATAGCATATTTATGCTGTGGTATATTATGCATATGATAATGTAGCACGTTATTATTATTGAACGATGTTATTTTTGGTAAAAGAATTACCTAATCCTCGTAACATAAGAAGAAGAAGAACAAGGATTTTCAGCTGACTTACGCTTCAATGTCGTCTTCGTCCTTTTCGCTTTTAGGTGGAACTTTCACGGTATCGCCTTTTCCGATAACACTGATGTCGCATTTGAGGTATCCTTTGGGGCCCGCAGAAATATCGTCAGGGTCGGTCAAAAGAGCCCATTTGTGGTAAAACTGATGATCTGTATGTGACGTAATTTAAAAAGTTTTTGTGGTAGCATATATGTCCGAAAACGAAAGCAAATCTTAAAAACTTCTACAATCACCCGAGCAGATTAATTTATTGATTCTCTTGATTTCAATTATATTTTTTGATCCGAAATAATCCTGTCTGTTTTGTGGGTGGAAGTTGTAGAAGTCCTCAGTAATATTTATAACATTGTACTATGTATATGTACGAATATTCATGCAATAGAAAGATAGAAGTCTTGCAAGGGAAGAAAAAGTAGAGAAAGAGCGAATATAAAGATAGGAGACGAAAAATTAGAAGAATTGACTGATTTTCGGCATCTAGGAAGTCTGATAAGTCAGGACGGAAGGAGTAATAAGGATATAAAGCAGGGGATAGGGCAGAGTCCAGTCGCCTTCAATAAAAAGAAATCAGCTCTATGCTCTCGAACGATTAATTGAGAAATTCGAAAAGACTGTTAAAGGTGTATGTTTGGAGCGCGGCGCTGTACGGGTGCGAAACATGGACGGTGGGCGCGGCGGAAAAGAAAAGGTTAAAAGCTTTCGAAACGTGGTGTTACCGGCGAATGATGAGGATACCGTAGATAGAGAAGGTTAGAAATGAAGAGGTATTAGAAAGATTAGGAGAACAGAGGACTCTATGGAAGTCAATAAGAATTAGGCGAGATAGGTTGGTAGGACACCTTCCTAGGCATGAAGGTCTAGTCAGAGACATATAAGAGGCAGAAATGGGAGTTTGGAGGGGTAGAGGTAGACTTAGGTTAGATTACTGTTCACAAATGGTTAAGGATGTGGGATGTTCTAGTTTTAGGGAAATGCGAAAATGCAAAAATTAGCTCAGGGTAGGAAAGAGTGGAGGTGGGTGTCCAATTAGTCTTAAGACTGATGATCTTACGACGACTATAAGTCTTAGGTAAACATACAATTATTAAACCCGTTTTGTGTTAAATTTACTTTAAAAATTTTGGAAAATCTTCATTGAAATATTGTAAAAGAAAAAGATGTCCATTTGTTTAATTTTCTTTATATTTTGTCGAACCTAGAACAAAAACAAATTTCTTCGGTTGCAATTTGTACTACTTGACATATTTTGAAAGGAGAAAATAAATATAAATTAGCTTGCACGTAATGCAGCACACAAGTTTGTTAGTTCAACAATACAGCCGCAATATTTTGAATGAATTATTCATGCAGTTTAGAAGATTAAATGATTTTACTGGGGCAAAAGTGTTGCGATGTGGCTTAGTTCAAGTTTGCTGCATGCACATTTCAATAATGACTACTAGCAGCGTTTCTCTTTGTGCTTTCTGCTAAAAAACCACTTAGTATGTAAAAAATGTTCCTATATTATATATAGTTTCGATTAAAATTTATCCTTCCAACAAAAATTTGTATGTAACTAAAGCCGGTAANGCAATAGAAAGGAAGAAAGTTGAAGATTTAAAGAGCCAGTTATCATGCAACGTTTGTTACTGAATATACAGTGGAATTCGGTTATTATGACTCTGCCTATATTGATCAACCGCTTAATATGATGTAATTGCAATGTTAAGTGTGGTTTTCATATTAAATTCTCTATAGGAAAATTTGGATATAATGACTCCGTTTAAAATGACATATCGTTTATTATGACTGATCCTCAAGAAATCGTATCCGGCTATAGTGACTCAAATGTTCCTATATTATATATAGTTTCGATTAAAATTTATCCTTCCAACAAAAATTTGTATGTAACTAAAGCCGGTAAATGTGTTAGATATAACTAACAAAAGTAGGTTCATATTTTCGATTGTTCCATTAATTTTTTTTTAATCAGCAGAATTGAACAGCAACGCGTCCTTGTTAATTAATTTCATGACTTGGAGCTATTCGCTCCAGTTTGCTGTGTTTAACTTCGACAGTGTTATCCATAGGCGTATACGTACGCAGATGGGAATGAAAAACAAACAAAGCTTGTGCAGTAGAATGTAGTAGACAAACAATTATGACAGTAAAAATTAGCAAATTGCAGTCTATTGTTGACGAATGGCATTGTCACGAGTAACAATATAACTCTATTCTGTATAAATCATCCTTGTTTTCTGTTTTCCGGGTATAAATGCGAAATAATTGTTTCATTCTGGATGATGTTTTCCCGGTAAAAATATGGTACGGTTTTTCTAAGAAAATTTTAATTTTCGATTACATTACATTACTATGAATTGGAAATTATATAAATGTTAGAAGATAATAAGGAAGCTTGTAGTTTCTTTCTTTGAAATTTTTTTATATAACAGATATGTCCTTACCTACAACGACAAAATTAATAAATTTTATGACAACACAAAAATTACAATTTTCGATTGTAAATGACTGAACTTTCTGTAGAAATAGTAAAATTTATTAGGTAACTTGTAATAATCTCAATTTTGACATGTTTCTTTAAAAATTATTTCAAGTTTCTTAATTATTACAATTAAATTTGTAATATCAACTAAAATACCTAGTATATTTATCTTTGCTGGAATTTTATTTGTACAAATTCGGGTCCAAATTGTAATTTTTATTATTTTTGTTTACGAAGCAACGGGATAGTGGGATAAATTGTAAATATCGCTTTAATATTTAGATAAACTTTCATTTTCCATTTTCTCCGTTATATCGAAAAATGAATTTTTATTAGATATGCACCAGTGAAGTTTGTTTTAGTAGCTTCTAGCTTAATTAAATGAAGAATTTTGCGCAAAGTACTTTATAAATATTAACAAAGATAAAAAGCTTCTTTAATTTATATGATAGAGAAGTAAATGAAGTCATTTGTACTAATGTACAATTTTTTAATTACACTGACCCCTAACAAGTTCCATTTTCATCGTGGCTTATAGTTTATACTCAAACTTTGAATTCCTTTTTCACCTCTAAAAGGGGTGAATTTTAAAAAATTCTTTCTTACTGCTTGCCTTTTCTGTATAAAAATTGTGATTTCATAAACCGAACTACCCGAATTTTCCGGTATAAATCTTGCATGAATTTCACATCAAACAATTGAACAATTTTATTAATGAACAACAATCTTGATAAAAAAGCATTTTATTTTAAAAATTATTTATAAAGTACGACAATTTTGCATTAGGTACTTGATAGTTCAAATGCATTTTTATATACATACAGTAAGGATATACTAGGTATTTTAAATAGAAAGTCGTTTTATATTTTGCATTTTCTATTTCATAAGCTTTACAGCAATCCTTTTTCACATCTGTGTTTAACGTTTATGACGAATGATGTTATCGTTTCTTTGTCTCTTTTAGGTCATCATTATCAGGCTTGTGGTTTAGTATCTACGCGTAAGCACATTCAGTTGTTGATTTCTACGTTTAACAAGTTGTTTTAGCTCGGTTTAACGTGTACGACAAAACTAAATTTGCGTTATTTCTTCAACTAAATTAATAAATATAAATATTTTACGTAGACAAATTTAAACTAGAATAATTGGAAAGGTTAACACCATCACAATTAAATTTTGAGTGAATTAATACCTAATGGATGCTTGTGTAGTGTTACATGATCAATTTGGAATTTCATGGATCAAAAGCACTTAGGAGTACTAAAATTTCGCAGTTTAGGGGCATTGCCAATACAGTAAGTCTTGTTTATATTTTCCATATTTATGAATAAAACTAAAGGTTAAGGTGTTGAGGTAAACTTTTTATAGAGTAGACTTGTTAAGAAATTAAATACTTATATTCTCGCGTACGAAGTAGTCACCATGCGTTCTCTTTAAATATTATTGTTACCATAAATTTACATTAAAACATTTTCGGATTATCTGGTTTTAGACTGTCTTAAATCCGCCATAAAATTTGAATGAAATGGCTATGTTGTAGGGTAACTAGAGGGAGATACGTTATTAATCTTAGTTAACTCGCGATGCCGAGGTAACTTTGGGTAATATACAATGAAACTGGTTTAAAAATTTAAAGGAAACACTACGCTATTCTAGCAGTATCTAATGGTGCACAATATAGACAAAAGAAGGTTTATTAGGTACTTATGACAGAGAAAAATGATCATGCAATTGATAATACAGTATAGAGAGGTATAGAGTTTTTAGCACAAAAGCAGGTAGCATGGTATAATAAGCACTAATTATTTTATTAGCTGGTAGTGTACTTTATACTGTAAAAAAATTACACCATCAGTAGGTGATTTGCAGAATTTTAAGATGATGTTCTCCGATAATAATTGAAACAATTTGGTAATAAATAGAGCAAATAACTTTTTTTTTCATTATCGATTGATGCAGTAAATGTAGGTAGACTTTGAGGTTTCATATTTTGCAAAGAGATTTGGATAACATTTTCCATTTATTCCCTACCTGGCTGCGAAAACACCGTAGCAATATCAAGCTTGAAACTGCCCAGTAATTTGTTAGTCCTCAGAAAATTGCGAGATTGTAGCACCTGTTAGCAATAGAAAGGAAGAAAGTTGAAGATTTAAAGAGCCAGTTATCATGCAACGTTTGTTACTGAATATACAGTGGAATTCGGTTATTATGACTCTGCCTATATTGATCAACCGCTTAATATGATGTAATTGCAATGTTAAGTGTGGTTTTCATATTAAATTCTCTATAGGAAAATTTGGATATAATGACTCCGTTTAAAATGACATATCGTTTATTATGACTGGTTCTCAAGAAATCATATCCGACTATAGTGACTCAAATGATTAATAATAACATTTTCACTCATTTTCCGACCCTTTTTATGTATATTGATATTACAATTCATCGTTCTTTTTCTTTTTCTGTTAATAAATATATACAATTTGTAAATTTTCTCTCTATTAAATTAAATAACTAACCAAAATAGAAAGTTGTATATTTTCTAAGACTATGCTTTGTATGACGCCCGCTTAGTATGACGTATTTGTCATTTCCCTTCGATGTCATTATAAGCGGATTCTACTGTATACATATAAAATAACAAACGACAATGCTTTCATGTTATGCTCGAACAGAAATTTCCCTTTTCACATTCCTGTGTCCTTTTAAAACGATATCGAATCGCAAATAATAAACAAACTCGTAAAAAATGTTTCATTTCGACAACCACTGCAGTCAATAAGAATGGGAATCAATTTTAGAATGTTTCAAAGGGAAACAGGATGTGAAACGGGTTTGATAGACATTCTCTATATATACAAGGTTTTAACCAAATATGTACCGGGTGCATCATATACAGTCCTGATGTCTAGTTTGAAGGAGCCTACTGCCAAACCAGTACGCAAAAATGATCTAGATTGTAAAACCTATAAAACAAATCCTGCGAAAGTTTTACATCTCAAATAAGCTAAGCATAATTTTATCTTTTTTATTTTGCAATTTACTTTGCAGGAACAATGGGAAAATACGTAATCCTAAAATGTAGCATCGTACTACAGATGGCGTTTACCGCGCCATTTGTGGTATTTTCTAAAACACGCTGTTAAGACAGCAGGTAAAAGTTAGTCTGTGTTCTGTCGGAGCTATCTGCGAAAGATCGAAATCGCGATCCGCGTCTGGCAGTTTCGACAGAATACAGACCACTTCGAATTATTTTATTTGTAAAAATTAATTTTCGAAGTTATTTCATTCTTGAAAATACATATAATAAGGATTATAAGAAATATTTTACTTACCGACAGTGTGATGATTTTGTCGAAAAGATTTTGTGGAGGCATATGGAAGTCAAACACAAAATACTGTAAAAAAAGAAAGAACACAAATCTGAAGCCTGAAAGTATATTGATTTTGTATTTAGACTATACATCAGTTTTGTAAGAATTTTTTACACATTCTACGTGATTTTATCTTATTCTAAAGTTTTAGTTAGGGAAAGATAGATAAGTCAAGTAAGCATTATTAAGAATTGTATTGTGAATTTTTCAGAAACCTATCTACGGTATAAAAATAGACATTTTCTTTTATCAAAATCTCATATCAGAGGTGAGAGTTATTTCATACATACATACGTATGTGAGGTTTTGCAGCATTTTGCTTTTCACATTTGCGATTTATTTAAGATGTTATAAATCAATATCCTTCACCTATTTGTCATTTCCGGGGACGAGAAAAATCCTTTAGAAACCGTATATTTTCAGGTAACATCAGTATGTGTAACTTTTTGTCGGATTTTTCTTCTGACATTTCCCGAACCTCATGTAGATTCATGGGATTGTTAAAATATTGTACATACACAAAATTTTATTAGCGGTCCAATAAGAAATACTGTAATGTGTACATTAAAACTTAAAGAAAAGCCCTAGGAAAAAATTCTCAGTCTCTCTTCAGTCTCTCAGAGTCTTTCGGAGTCTTTTAGCGTCTCTGAGAGCGTCTCTCACAGTCTCTCAGTTATTGCCTAGGTGTTTTTATGGATCTCTCACAGGCTCTGTATGAAAAACTCGAACGATAAAATTGTTAATTCAGAGATTCGAGTCTCTCGTTCAGAGATTCGAGTCTCCCGTTCAGAGATTCGATTCTCTCGTTCAGAGATTGGATACTAAATGAGGATCTCTCTATGAGCGGCTCGAGTCTCTCTTTCAGAGACGCTAAACAGTTTTTTTGACAGTCTCTCGACAGTCTCTCCTTAGCGACACCAGAGAGACTCGAGTCTCGCTTTCAGAGACTCTGAGAGACTGAACATTTTTATCTCGGGAGGTACTAACTGACCTGGAAACCTGGTAGGTCTAGAAGTCGATTTTTATTATTAGTTGCTTTTGAAGAAGCCTCCATACCTACAGGCGAAACGTTGGTGTGGTATCGATAAGTAAAAACTTTCACCCCATTGACTTTGATTTTTTATTTATAACTAATAAAAAATATGGTTCTTGTTGCTTTAAAAAAATTGCTTTACATTGAAGGTAGATAATTTGCTGTTCGCTGAAAAGCAAACTAAAACCTCTTAGGTTTTTACTATGGATTGGAAAGTTTCTCAATAAGATATATCCTTATAGCCACATAAAACCCATGAGCTTATTTAAGGTTGACAACGTTGGCAACAAGCCACTAATTATACCGTGAATAATTATTTTGTTCAAGTCGTTTTAAAAAATAAAATTGCACTCCTGTGTCTAAGAGTACTAGAGAGAAGGACTTAAAGAGATCCTATAGGAAAAAGAAAAAACCGAAGTACATGTCGACTTCATCTGCTCTCGTTTAACGAGTAACATGTTCCTATAAGCTTCACTAATGCCTACCACTATTGTTAGGGTATTTGTAGCGGCTTAAAACTTTCCGTAAATTAACCAATTAAATGCTTACTTCATTGTAATACGGGCAATTCGTACTCTCCTTGACGCTCGTGTACTTTCTTTGGTCGCCAATTTGAATGCACACCACTGGATCCATATTAAGTCCTGCCAACTGACGCGCTTCAATTATTGTAATGCAAACCTGGAAATCTTGAGCTTTTAACGCTGACTGCTCTGCGTTTGCAATTTCCGATTTTATTCTGTAATGACGAATGGAAAGAAAAAACAAACAAGATCGTTGCAGTTTTTATCAAAATTAATTTAAATAATATAGATTTCCTGATGTGTATATGTTACCGGAAATGTCTGAAATCTATTTAGGCTATTTAGGAAATGTATAAAATTGCTTCAAATATTTTTTAATACACATAAATCCTGGGAAATGTATACATTTCCTAGGAATTGTATGAAATTCCGAATTTGAACTAGGAAATGTATAAAACTAATGCTTTCTGTGATTGAAATAGATATAACGCTGTAATTGTACACAATTCCTAGCTTTTATATATTTCCGGTAACATTTATATCAATAATACAGTACAACTTATGTACAATTATTGAAAGATTGCATTTAAGTTATCGACAATAGCAACACTACGAGGGTGGATTGATAAGTTTCCGGCCTAACCAAGAGATGACGCCACTAGGCCTACCTTGAGGTGACATTCTATAGTACCATCCTTGGATAGCTTGTAGCTATAGTTTCAGCCCGATCTCCTTGCTAGTGTAGGTTTGACAGCACGCTGAACAAGACGCCTCTGTGGTTTTCGTAAAAATGGAAAAGCAGGAAAATCGTGCTGTCATCAAATACTTTTATTTGAAGGGGTTAACGCCGAAGGAAATTAAAAAAGAGATGGACTCAACACTGGGGACATCCTCCCCGTCATATTCAACCGTTAAGCAGTGGGTTTCCGAGTTTAAAAAGGGTCGTGTGAGCACCTCTGATGGGCCTCGCTCAGGACGCCCCGTTGAGGTCACAACTCCAGATATGATCGAAAAAATTCATCAAATAGTGCTGGGAGACCGCAGATTGAAAGTGCGTGAGATAGCTGAGACCTGTAAGATGTCATATGAACGTGTGCAACATATTTTGCACCAACATTTGCATATGGAAAAGCTCTGTGCAAGATGGGTGCCGCGTTTGCTAACAGTCGACCAAAAATTGATTCGAAAAAACATTTCTACCGCAAATTTGTCATTGTATAAGCGTAATCCAAGCGAATTTTTGCGTCGATTCGTAACCGTTGACGAAACGTGGGTCCACCACTACACTCCTGAAACCAAAGAACAGTCTAAACAGTGGATTGGACCAGGGGAACCAACTCCAAAGAAGGCAAAAACAATTTTTTCGGCGAACAAGGTTATGGCTACTGTTTTTTGGGATGCAAGAGGTATTATATACATTGATTACCTTGCAAAGGGTAATACTATCACTGGTCAATACTACGCAGACTTATTGCAACGTTTGAGCCACGAGGTGAAAATTAAACGACCTCATCTGGCGAAGAAAAAAATCTTGTTTCATCACGATAACGCACCAGCGCACACGTCAATCGTTGCGACGGCTAAAATCAACGATCTAAAGTTTGAATTGATGCCGCACCCTCCTTACTCTCCAGACCTAGCCCCGAGTGACTATTTTCTGTTCCCTAATCTCAAAAAATGGCTTGGCGGTAAGAGATTTGCGGACAATGAAGAAGTAATCGAAGCTGTAAATGGTTATTTTGAGGAGCTTGACGAATCAGTCTATAGAGATGGCATTAATAGACTGGAACACCGCTATGAGAAATGTATCAGCCTTGGAGGAGATTATGTTGAGAAATAAAAAAAAAAAATTTTTAAAAACCTTGTTTTTCTTGGTCAGGCCGGAAACTTATCAATCCACCCTCGTATATTGAATATTTTGGGTCACACCAAATTCCTTAATACTTTTACTATCGGTACAAACATTTACCAGTATGGATTTTTGCTCGGGAGTTTTTAGGGTTTTCCGTGTCCTATTAAATATAACAAACAATCAGCGATATCCCACGGAAATTGTTTATTTTAATTGTATTGAAGAGGCACCTGAGCTTTTCCAACATTGAAACTAATGTGAGTTTGATATTTCTTCCTAAGTTTTTGATTCTATCCTATTATTTAAGTCTATTTTATAAAAGCGAAAATCGTAACAATAATACACCTTAAAAATAAAAAATAAAATTTGTAAAAAGTCAATAAACATCAACTATAAGCTATGAACCCTTAATATTTGATTGTAAAACCCGTAATTTTAGTATTTCCGAAATTTCCTTTCGGGTCTGACCCTGATGACTTTAATATAAGAGAAAATATTGCGTATAATTTACTAGAACCGGAAGCTATTTCACCTTTCATATGATGTATGTATGTACATACGTATGTATATGTAGGTGAATATATAGGCTGCAATGAATTGCAAAGGATCAATAGAGTTATATTGCATAAATTGGTGGGACGCCTAGCGCAGCCTTTTATAGTGTCTGCCTGTATCAGCATGAAATACGGGATATCGGAACTGTGGCTTTCTGAAACCCGCTCTTCGCATTCCCGTGGGGCCACGGGAATTTTCTCACTCTACGTGCACATAACTTAAAGTGTATTACTTCAGTGCGTTCATAACTTTCACAACTTGGTACCTATTCATCGTCAGTCAGTTTGTTGTATCTGAGATATTATGGATTCTTTTACAACTGAGATAGATGATGGTAGAGTCAGATAACAATTTGAGCTTTAGTTTTGAGCTGCGCCGGCCTTAGTCCTTATGACGCCCCTGGGTAATTATAAAGTCAATGTTTTCGAGGTTTTAAAAAGAAATATCAATTTATTTATTAATCTAGCTGTATCTGTCCAAATTTTGACGATGGGTACCAGTATTGATGGTACATTTATATTTTAATTTTGACGCCATTTTCAATAATTTTATGATCGATTGTGTAGACGTCTAACATTAAAACTGTACATCTCATTGTATGTATATATATATGCTACAAATAGGTACCTACACGCCAAACTTCTTATTAAAAGAAAACATCCTTGCTAATCCTAACGAATCCTTTCATATTTTAATTAAACGTTTTAATAGTCAAAACAGTACTGTATGAAAATAAACAAAAATAAATCAAAAATGCTGGTATGCAGGGGAAGAAAAGGTAGGGAAGGAGCAAACATAAAGATAGGCTTATTTTAGGTATCTAGAAAGTCAGATAAGTCAGGACGGAAGGAGCAGTAGGGATATGAAGCGGATGATAGCGCAGGGTCGAGTCGTCTTGAATAAAAAGAAGTCACTTCTATGCTCGCGAACGGATAATTTAGAAATTTGAAAAAGGTTGTTAAAGGTGTATGTTTGAAGCGCAGCGCTGTACGGGTGCGAAACATGGACAGTGGGCGCGGCGGAAAAGAAAAGATGCGTTCGAAATGTGGATAGAGAAGTGTATAAATGAAGAGATATTAGAAGGAATAGGAGAACAGAGGACTCTACGGAAGTCAATAAGAAATAGGCGAGATAGGTTAGTAGGACACCTTCTCAGGAATGAAGGTCTAGTCAGAGACATATTAGAGGCAGAAACGGGAGTTAGGAGGGGTAGAGGTAAACAAAGATTAGATTACTATTCGCAAATAGTTAAGGATGTGGAATATTCTAGTTTTAAGGAAATGCCAAGATTAGCTCAGGATAAGAAAGAGTGGTGGTGTGTGTCCAACGAGTCTTAGGACTGACGAAATTATGATGATGATGAATAGTCAGTTAGTTCTAAAATACAGTTTAATATAAAAACTTTTAAAAAAGCGTTAAAGTATTTATTTTGGCATTTTACTTATGTGTGCTGCACGGCGCCCTTTAGGGCTTGACACCTTCAACCTTACCCTAATGCCGACGCTGATTTTGAGTTTCAAATTTTTGCCTTAGAACTATAATAAACTTTTCGATTATTATTTTCAATTTTCAGTAGTCAAAATTGGTAGATACCTACTTAATAATTGAAGATGGTTTTTCTTGGCTCTGTTTATTTTTATTAAACGATTCCGCTGACTCGCAAAATTGAAGAAAGAAAAACTAGCTAGCATGTACCTAGTTACGTACGAACCGTTTGCTTGGGTAAATAACTTACTTGGATGTTTTCCTTTGAAGTTGTAACGTTTGCGACTGGCTACTGTCTTCCAGATTAGAATCAAGGGATGTTTGACTTTCTGCCCGCGATATTGGGGCTGATTCGGATTCAGATTGATGGCGAGAGCTCTTAGCAGAATCGGGCCTTTGAAGGAGATAGGCATTTTCATCATCGCTTCCGGATTCCCTCGAAGGCCTCTGCTTTCCGAACCGCATTAAGCTTTTCATGTTTCGAAACGTTGAATTTCTCTTACGTTCACCTTTGTCCGCTGAATCTGAAACACAGAGGCGTAGGAGCCAGTGGCGTACATACACATAGGGGAAAATGCGTAGCGTTTTGTGTAACCCAAGATATCATATTGCTTGAATATTGTTGTGGAAGAAATTTTGCTAGAGCTTTCTATACGATTCCACTCAATTTTGGATATATGAATAAAATTTATATTGTTTAAACATTTAAACTTCTTTTTTTATTTGGTTTATGTTACTTGGTTAAGGTTTAGCATCCTGCGGTATAGGGGGAGGTTGGGTGAACAATTGAACATCCCCTTAACTTGTGCAAGTTCGAATGTACTAAAATGTATGACTAGATGATAAATCTTTTTTATCGTTTCTTATGCAGATAAAATTTGGAATTACACAGATCAACATTAACAAATTACTCGCGGCTTAGTATAAGAATTATTAGGTTATGTTTGGTTTAATTATGTTATGTTGCGTTTTCTTTGTGGTAGACTGTACATTGTAGTAACTTCTTCGCCGAAGATGTATAGCTAGTTTGAAATCTCATGACCCAAAGACGAAAGGCGAACCTTATTGTATTGAAATTGTTATGGAATTGGAGGGTACCTGTACCTGTGGATTTTGCCGAAGCGCTGAACGTTATTGCCCTTTCCAACACGGCTCTGCGGCTTTTGGTTGTTACTTGAATCCTTTCCTGTTTATTGTCGGAAATGCTTCTTTCTATGTTAGCGATATTCTGTTCGATATCGATAAGCATTTGTTGGTCATCCGGAAACATATCGTAAGCTTGTGCGCTGTCCGTAAAGGAAACATTTGAACCGTCGGGGGTAATATAGAGTACTTCGAATTCAACCGTCGCCTAAAACAACGGAAATTCTGACCACAAGACAAGAATCTTAAAACAATAGGCGAAAAACAATCGAATGTAGGATGAAACTTCTGTTACGTAAACAGATGACTATCTGAATTATCAGAGGCGGGTTATAAGTTTTTTTTTTGGGGCATCTTTTCATAAAAAAAAATATAAGAAACTATAAAATTTTGCTCTACTAAATTTGACTCGAAATTATAAATCATTTTCTTCGGTTTCGCAGAAACTCATTTCTGTCAAAATATATCACCTTATGACACCCTACCGCGCTTTTACAGTGTAAATGTAAATTGGTTTGAACCACCCTAAGGAGGAAAATTTTGCTAGTCCAAATTTGCTAATCGGTTGTAAAGAACCCGAAATTATGAATCATATTTCGTCAAAGGTAATGCCGTCTTACGACACCCTGCCGTGCTTATATCATATAAATTTAAATTGACTCTATTTGAAGGCAAGGACAAATATTTGGGGCCCCAGGCATACGTTATTTATTATAGTCCGTTTTTTACCCAAAAACTAGTCGTTCTTGGGACTATGAACCCAGAATCAGTATTGAAAACAAAACAAAAAATAATCGAATTTTTACTAACGCAGAACAAAAGTTTTGCTTAATTATATTAATGGTAATGATGATGGTGCATGAATTTTTATTTTGTGACACGGTGTCTATTGATTACATTTTAGTAATTACTGTATAATGCAGTAGTTTTGCACTTCGAAAAGGTAAATAGAAACTCACACAAAACCGATCAGCGGAAGAAAACTTTTGTATAAAGTTGAGATTTAACAATATGTACCAGGCTGTGGTATATTGTAATGCTGTACTTTTTTAGAATTATAGAGGAAACGGAAGTTTAATGAGTCGAAGCATATCAAATTTACTAAAAGCATCTAATCGTTACCTTCCAGGAACAACTACAATATTCACAATGGAAAGGCTTGAACTTGAACTTTTCAAGTTAAAATAGTTTAAATAAGTAGATTAATATGCAAATATCTAAAACTAGGTCCAGTTCACATTTTCATGGTTACATAATTAAAACTAAAATAAAGAAAGCACTTGGCATATTACATGTGTGAGATTGTAATTTCAGGATCCAAAATTAGAACAGAAAATCTCACTTACAATTAGATATTATTATTAAAGTTTCCTTTACGTATTCATGAAGAAGCATCGTCGGACAACGTCACATTAATTTTCCGCCGTTCAATTAACTTTAATTAGTGTTTCTAATATACCTGACGTACGCAAAGGTGAACAGGGTTTATTGCAGACATTAACCTAAAAACCGGGGGTGCGCTGGTGCCTTTATGGGGAAACGACGAAAGTGTTTCGCTTTTAAATAAGCTCGAGATTATGAAAATATTTTTAGCAAAATTGCGCTAATTTATTTTAATCAACGTTACACTAAAAAAGTTTTCTTTGTTTTGTAACATAAAATAAAGGGACAAAGGGGAATGCAAACTGTATCGCAAATTTCGGAAATGATTTGAGATAGTAAATTACTGCAAGTTTTTTAATTACAGTGCAGGCAGTTTTAAGCAGCATTTATCATGATAACATAAGAAAACAATTGCAGTTATCTAAACATTTTATTTAATGTAATAAAAGTCATAAGTTTTTGTTACTTATTGAGAATCTAATACAAGGTTAATAGATATTTAGGTGAGTTTCATAAACCTTTGTGCAGAGAATTGTATTCCAAAGTCTATAGAGAATACGTAACAGGGTGAGATTGCATTATACCTCTAATTAACCCCAGACTATGTGTAATGGTCTACTCGCGGTACACATTCAATCATCCGGTAGCATATGGTCCAATGTAGCGTAAATGCATCAATTTGTAATGTACCTACCCATGTGCTTCATCATGCGTTAAAACAAATGCTGTTTTAATGTCAAAACAATCGTTTAGCAAATACAATATCGTTTTTAACACAGTTCTTGTTAAAATATGCATAAAACACTTCGTATATATACTAAAAGGTAACATTAGTTATTAAGAAAATATTATTGAAGGAGCAATAGAGATATAAAACAGAGCATAACGCAGGGTCGAATCGCCTTTTACAAAAATAAGATGTATGTGAGGGAACGGTTAATTTAGAAATTCGAAAAATATTAATAAAGGTGTATGTCAGGGGTGCGGCGCTGTACGGGTGCGAAACATGGACGGTAGGCACGGCGGTAAAGAAAAGGTTAGAAGCGTTTGAAATGTGGTGTTACAAGCGAATGATGAAGATACCGTGGATAGAGAAGATTAGAAATGAAGAGGTATTAGAAAGAATAGGAGAACAGAGGCCTCTATGGAAGTCAATAAAAAATAGACGAGATAAGTTGGTAGGACACTTTCTCAGGCATGAGGGGCTAGTTAGAAACATAAACAGGAGTTAGGAGGGGTAGAGGTAGGCTTAAATTAGATCACTGTTCACAAATAGTTAAGTATGTGGAATGTTTTAGTTTTAGGGTAATGCGAAGATTAGCTCAGGATAGGAAGGAGTTGAAGTTCGTGTCCAAACAGTTTTAGTTCTGACGACTTTATGATAATGATGATAAGTGTATATTCCCGAGATAAAAATGTTCAGTCTCTCAGAGTCTCTGAAAGCGAGACTCGAGTCTCCGTCTCTCATCGAGTCTCTCTGGTGTCGCTGAGAGAGAGACAGTCAAAAAAACTGTTTAGCATCGCTGACCAAGAGAGATAGAGAGATCCTCATTTCGTATCCAGTCTCTGAACGAGAGACTCGAATCTCTCAATAAGTGGTGTCTCGATAGACATAGTTAAAAAAAAAAAAGTTCAACATATTTCAGAGATCCTAGTCTTTCTACGAGAGACTCGAGTCTCTCAATTCTTCAGTTTTACCTATTCATCCAGTCTCTCTGTGAGAGACTCGAATCTCTGAATTAACAATTTTATCGTTCGAGTCTCTCATACAGAGACTGTGAGAGATCCATAAAAACACCTAGGCAATAACCGAGAGACTGTGAAAGACTGTGAGAGACGCTCTCAAAGACGATGAAAGACTCTGAGAGACTGGAGAAGGACTGAAAATTTTTGTCTAGGGTTGTTCTTATAAGTTTGGTTGAAAATTCATTTGCTCAAACCAATTGGAAAAATCAAATTTTAGTGTCTTTATTAACGATGACTAATTTATTATTTATTCTTGCGTGTATTGTTTGGTTCAAGTATCTACCCACGACTCGAAATAATCACTTTCATTCACACTGAAATCGAACTGTAATAGCATTTTTGTCCCAGCAACACATTAATAAACGTTATCAAAGCTTTTCCCTGTAATTTTGAATTATTGATTGTAAAGGGTTTATTTCTAATCCAGAACGGTTCCAAATTGACCATTTGTTTTTGCGTGAATTGGATGTTATTTATGACAATTGTGTAACGATATCATAAATTAAAAAATAGTCAAATAATGTTTGGTCCTCAACTATTTCGGGATAGGCAATAGTTACGCATTCTATAGACTTTAGTTGAAAAATATTATGCGAATATAGTCAATGGTCAATCATTTTGTTTGAAAACGGTGTTTAAATTTTGTGCAGAAAATTGAGAAACATTGAAAAGGTTCAAGCAGTATCTACAGAGGTCTTTTGAGTAATTGGGAATCCAATTAGTAGTAAAACTGGTTTTGGTTAAATTCAATTTCGGTTTATGATTGTTTCGCGTTGCACAGTTTCTAAACTTTTTAATAACTTTTGTACTTTTAAAAGATGTACAGAATTTGCAATTAGGAAGACTGAAAACCGTCACGTTGTGGATTAACTAAGAGAAAACGTTTGAGTAAGCTTTCTAAGTTAGTTAGATGTTAGTAATTCGTGTAATTAAATTTCAGTTCCGGATCAGGTTTTCTTTGAAAACGCTACAGAAAACGGATAGATTAAAGAAGCTTTCTCTTTTCAAAATACTTCAAACGGCGGGTATGTAATTAAGATATAATACGAAAAGGATAAGCAGGACCACGTATAGCCATCAGTCCTTATTTTCTTTAATTATTGAAGATTCCATTTCCAAAAAAAAATTGACGGAGCCCTTACTTATAAATATATTTTAACTTACCGGCAACGGTTTGTTATTGCTATCAATTAGATTGTCGTGAACGTTTATACGTCCATCTTTTACTACTTGCTGTAACACCAGTAAGTACGTTCCTATAATTTTGTCCGGGAATAAGCGATTCCGGGCAACCAATTCAATTTGGAGCAGTTCGCTTTCCTCAATCGGTCGTGCTACAGGCCAATCGAACCTCTGCAATAAAAATTAATATTTGTGTCTAAATTAACAAATTAATAACGAAATATCATTGTAAGGATGTTGTGTCTTGGATATGCATTTGTGTATGTTATCATTATCCAGTATAAATCCACACGATTGGTTTTAGCGGTAGAATGCTCGACTGCTACACGGGCGGCCCGGGTTTGCTTTTAAATCTTTTGTTTTTTATATTAGATAAAATATACTGGTCTTATATCGGTCACATGCAATATTTATGTTGTATATTTTATTGTCCAATTATCCTTACAAGTTTAACGTTTAAAATTAATTTTTGTATTATATAAGTTAGTAAAACAGATTGCAATTCGGTTAAAGTAAGCTCAAGATGTGCGTTTCTTTGAAAATTGAAAAACGTATTCTAATTAAAGTTTTAACAAAGAGGTTGCCTATGTTTGGAGTCATTCATGTATTATATAAGCACTACAGGGGTGCGGGGGTCCTTGTTTTGCTTATTTTGGATGACATGGGGGATGGGGGGTCTCAATGGCGATTACGTCAGCAGTATTTATTTTTTTACTTTTTCGGATTTTCTCCATTAAATCGATTTTGGTTTGACCAAATGTGGTAACCCTGCTTGTCTATTTGAAAATGAATAGCATTTTCAGGGACTTGTAACTGCTGCTCATGAATCAATAAATCAGGACAAATTGAAAATGCATGTACCAATGTTTATGTAAGAGAGTTAAGAGCTTTGCATACTTTTGCTGTCGATAGGGGGTTAACAATTGCAAAAAATCTGCGTACGTAATACTTGAACGACCCCTTTGATAGGAAACTATGAAATTTATTAGTTGCAAAATATTACAGACTTTTTTTATTTGGATATTCACAAGTATCAAAAGAAATTTTGAAAGTGCAAGCAACCTTTAAACAACATATAAATTAAATAAAAATACATTTTTATGACTATAAGCTCATAACAATAAAATAAAGGGATTTTCTTTTAGTTTCCCCGCCGCTGCTTTTTAACACAATCCTTTTTAAAATTTTGGTGTACGATTATCTTGCATTAATTTTAACCTTCTGCTGTACAGTCAATATTTCATACATGTTCAGAATTTTTGCGCTAGGTTCTCATTATTTCGAGTTAACCTGTTGTACTTTGGCTTAGTATTCGTAAAGGGACTTGACCCAGAACGGAAAATAATAAGGCACATTGTATATTCCTTGCAGGTTTTAAATTAAGTTTACGTCTTTCAAAAACCCCGTTTTATGTACATACCGACTGAGGTGTAAATAATAAATACAATGATATAATATTGGTCTAAGAACATCTCAACATATTTTCTCTGCGGTAGTTTTTTTCCAAGTAATATTTATTAAAGTGTTACATGTTACACGCTGTGTTTGAAAAAATATGTTGGATTTTGGAATTTTTTCACAATTAATTTTGTTTTTGAAATAAATAACCAAGTCCTAAACTATATGTAATTTAAACTATACTTGATATAAATTTCGTAAATAATTTTTTTAAAATTGTTAAGCGTGACGTAATTCTTGGAACCAATTAGGGTAGTTTAAACCTAAATTTTCTTCATTGAAAAACCTGTGGTCCCTGCGTAGTACATGAATATTTGCAGTTGTTTTCTATTATTATCTTGTAAATAACTTATAAACTGAGCATTTTTCGGTATTAGTTGTTAGTATTGTTTTTAAAATAAGTACTTTGCATAAAGTTGAACTTAGTAAGAATTAAAGATTATTAAATTGAGGGTGTCGGTAGGCATATACTTATAAATAAAACAATGGGTTGATGTTACATTTATTAATTCTCAAATTTTCGCCAACATTTTTGACTTCAACAGGAGATCAATGTTGTAAATTAATTTTTAAAAGCATAAATAGTGTAACTATAAACTATGGAATGAGTTATAATTACAGTGTAAACGACAATTAAGGGACTGAACATTTTTCGGCGTTATAAAGAGTGCATATAGTACACATTTTGCACACGAACATTATTATTCATACATTGCGTATAGCCTGTTATCTTCGTCTGCACCAATATTTTAATTGTATTTTGTTACGTATCTTACTCATATCTTGAGATACTGCTGGATCAATTTGATTATGTAAAAAGTATTTTTTTAATAGTTTTGCTGCATCAAGTGCTTGTTTGATGCTTGGTGGAGGGACAGGATCGTCTTCTTCAACAACGTACACAGCTGCAGTTCTTATCTATTTCGGCAACAACAAGAAAGTACTGCTCAATGATTTATAATGCCGCATTGTTGTCGTTAAATAGAGTGAGCGTGACGCTATATAGAGTGTAATATTGTATAGAAAACAATGTAAACCAACCAAAGTCAAGCAATTTCGACGTTTTAAGGAGTTTGTAGTTAAATCGAGTGACGTTATAAAGAGTTTACACTGTATATGTAAGTAAAAATAATAAATGTAACATCAACCCATGGTTTCGTTCAAAAGTATATTTCTACCAACACCCTTAATTTAATAATATTTAAGCACCTTACATTTGCAATAATTTTTATTGCAACTTCTGGAATCTACAATTACCTACGTTTTTAGCGTATTTTTGGTAGAAAAGAATTATTAAAAAATGTTCTTATTTCACAAAAGAAATCATTATTCTAAATTAGATTTTTATACATATAATCCCTTGAGAATATTAAGTACTTAGACAAATAAAACACTGTGTAGATATGAAACAACATTTAATACGTAAGTATATTACAAACTCTTAATTACCTGGTCTATAATAATAATATCTCCTTCAGCATCCTCGAATAACTTGGATAAATGCGAGACTCCTGAAACAAAAACGTAACTGATTACATAACTCAAATGAAACAAATATGTAATAGAGAGGTGAAAAAGCTAATTACAAGTAGCGACTGTTTTATCTACCCCTTTGGGGCTATATACTAGCCTGTTAGAGCAGAATGTCTTTGCTTTAAGCTGTTATTCTCTTTGAGTTTGGTCTTGAAATAATAAATAATTTAATAGACGCCGTACCGCTTGTGCTCCTCGTTACGAAATAGTGTCCTTGAAATATACATATAGGAAGATAACAGCGGTGACTAATTTGTCTTTCAAAATAACTAAATCAATAAAGATCGATATTTTCTATTGGCCTAAACATTAATTCAAAAAAGAAAAATTGCCCCAGAGAAATTTGAGATTCCTCTCTGCAGTCAACTGAGATGTTGGGCCTTCGAGTATTTCTATAAACAAATATTTAAGACATTTCAATTTTTTCACGTATGCAACAAGACAATCGACATTAAAGTTCTTAACATTAGTGTGAAATTTCATTTAATTTTATTCACTTCAAATCACCTCAAATTAATGAAAAAAAATTGTTGTTGCTGTTACTCCCTCGCCGGGAATCGAACCCGGGACCTTTGCCTTTACGCCCCAATGTTCTGACCACAAAGTCACGAGAGGTAACGGTAAGCTCGAAACGTACTTATTAAGTCACAGATTCGTCAAACTAATATATGTATATAATGGGTGTGTTCCGAAATATAACCCAGCATACTGACCAGTGCTGATGACGTAATGAATCGACGCCATACTGTTGATTCGTTCCGAAATATACTGGCCAGTGCATTGATGTCAAACTGACGCCATATTGACAATAGTGTTTGTGCTCGTTTACAAGAATTTTGCTCTAAAAGTTATTAAAGTTTCTTACAATAAAAAATTCCTCAAAGTCTGATGCACACACGCCCGTTTGATATACTAGTACATCGCATTTGTCTCACCGGTACAATATGGTGGCACACCAGTATAATATGGCGTCGATTTATGACGCCATCAGCACTGTATGTTGGGTTATATTTCGGTACACATGCAATATATATTACTATCGTATAAAATACATTAAGAAACTTTTAATAGTTTAAAAATATTAATGTTTAAAAAAATCGTTCTTTCTGTTTTTGTTGCTTTTTTAACTCATTCATTCTTTTAAAATTTAATGGAAATTATTTATTAAAATCTTTTTATTTAATAGGTTGCGAATGGTTGACGGGGAAAGAATTTATTTCCAGGCAAACGTGTTTTTTTTTTATTTGAAACAATTAACGCAGACAAATAGTCGCAGTTACGGCATATTTCGTTAATTTTAGTGTTCCCTTTGACGTTCGTTTGTTTTTTCATTTTCACATCCAGGAACCTACGTAACACTTGAAAATATAGGTCAACTGTTTTCGTACAAAACTTCCAATTACAAATGCGGGCGAATGGCATGAATGGTTCACATTAAACTAAAAATAAGGGTATCCGCAATAACTTTCTTTGTTTCATGATATTGTTTAAACGGGGAGCCTTCTGGCATTATTATGACATCAAAATAATTACGGAAAAACTACCTCTTGGTAAATTCTAAATAATATTGTAAATTTTAAATGCAGGTGTGAGTTTGTATGTTTGTTTATTACCATTTCACGCCTTACCTACTCAACCGATCATAATGAAATTTTGTATACACATTGTCAAGGGAACAGAAAAGGTCATGAGGTACCTTTTATCGAGAAAAAATTCTGTTCCCGGGGGATAGAAAGATTCCTTTTCATCTCGGTGAAGAAGGAAAGAAAGATTTACTGTCATTCTACGCAAAGTGTAAGTATGTTTAACCTAGAAAATTAAAAACTTTATTTTATCCTGATGATCATGAACAGGACAAAAACAAATTTATCAAATTATTGTATTTTACAATAATGTAGTAATAAACTTCACTGTTTTATGAAAAAAACTTCAGAACAACATAATATTTATGAAGTTTTTGTTGGAAATTGATATGCCTAATTAACAATATACATATACATACATTAAGATGGGTATATAGCGTGTTCCTTTATCATAAATTGATCCAATAGCAATAAAATAACTGCGCAATTTATGATAGATTTTACGACCATTTAGGAATCGTTAAAACTGAACTTAAGTGGTACTATTTTGCTTTGAAGTATTATAATTAAGGTAATTCACGCAAATGGTATAGTTAAGGTCAAAGCTTCTTCGCTCTTATAGATTTGACCAGTCTTTCTCAAGTCTGGCGGGAAAGTTAGTCAAAGCCCAAACTATTTGTGTAGCTCTTCCTTTATCTAACAATTTTTTTTGTACAATTTTGGCGGAGATCGACTCACAAAATCAAACGTCGAAATTTATATTTCTTGGATTACGTTAGGTTGGGTTAGGTTAGGTTAGGTTAGGTTAACTCAAACGTATAAATCTGTAGCTTTTAGAAACTAAGACAGACAAATCATTCAGCAGATGAGGGGCTGATCAATAAAGTTCTTCTTATATACAATTTCAAAATGAATTAACACTTTAATTTTTATTTTAATTACTTAATCCGAAGAAATTAATGTACATTTATAACTAAATCGCATATTTTGATTAATTCTTTGATAAGACATAAAAGAAATTATTTTTGGTAAAAACAAATGGTAACTCTCTCGAGGATGTAGCAACCCCTGCAAGGAAGCAAGTTTAATACAAAATTACCCTACATCTTTGCCTTTTAACTACCTACCTTCTTTTATAATGACATTCTTAAGCTTTATACGGGGCTTCCCGTGCAATATTAAAATGCCTCCCGCGATTTTTTACACAAGCGTTCTTAACGTAATATGATGTAATGTCTGCCACCCTCTTTGAAAGTTGTCCGAAATGTTTTTCTTTGTAAGACCCAAGTGTTCTTTTTTAATATTTCTCGTGTTTATTATTCTTTTTTATGAAAACAGCGGCAACTTTTCCAGATAAATATTACAACGTTATAAATTTTACAAATCTCAAAGATACGTATTAAAATATTACGTATATGGGAAGTAAAATACAACTTTTTGATTTATATCCTGTAATAGCCAGCAGCTTTGTAATTCTATCGCCTTAGCTTCCTGATGCAGTTATAATTTATTCTGGAATAGGAAGTCCACTCGGAAATAATATAAACGAATCATTTTCAAATGTAAAATGTCAGAGATAGAAAATACCATCTAGCTGTTGTCTTATCTCTGCAAAACGCAGATGTCATGTTGTGATATTTATTTAGAGCAAGATGCAAATCATAAAAATTATTTTGACTTTAAAAGTGTAGTGAAGTCACATACAAATAATAAGTAATCGTTTGCGTTAGTACATGGCATTTAACCAATTAATATTGTTCAATAGATGCAACCAACTGTACACACCGACAGAGATATTTAGACCTGTGCATTTTTTTCAATTGTTTATTTCCAACTGGAGCATTTTTAATCTAAGATTAATAAAAAGTTGTAAAGTAAAAACGTGCAAATGTTACGAAATACTTAGCAGGAAATATCTGCAGACCCGATATACTGCAACTTTTTTGAGTTTTTGAGTAGTGTATAATGTGTATGTCAAAGAATCTTTTTCTTGAGGAAAATCTAATGGTGAAACTCCCAAGTTGTTACACAGACGTTTGGGGTATTTGAAGATTTTAACAAAATAATTAATTAAGTAGATAAAAGCATTTAGAGTTCCTCTTGAGTAATAAATTATGTCTTTTCTTCTTGTTTTGGAGCTATTTAAACTTTGAAGAGGTTTTAACTTTTTTATTGAGGGAAGCGATGAATGTTTAATCAATAATACAAACGCGAGGGTAAATGGTAAATCCGATTTTTAAATCTGCTAATTTATATTTAAGTAGCCATTAAAAATTTAATTTGCTGCGTTTCGTTAAACATTTGAGGACTTCTTCAGGATAATTGTAAACTTAAAAATGTAGTAACTTTAAAACAGACCATTTGTCTATGTATATGTTAAGGTTAATTCACAAACTTATAAAATATGACTCCTGTAGTAACAAATTAAATTCCAGCGGGCGAAGCCGCGGGGACATTAAGTGTATTAGTTCACATCGTTTATTCTACCACAATGTAAGGCAGGAATGGAAATGAAAAAATAAAGTAATTTTAAGCTATTTGCTTTTATGTATAATATAAGCGAAAGTCAAAATGTTCTGGAGTTACAGGATAATCTAATTAAAGTGACTAATTCAGATCTATCTACTAGTTAAATATTTAGTGATATCAATCGGAGTTCTCTGATGTCAATGCGATTGCCTATTTGGCTGAAACCCTTTAAAGTAACTAATTAGAGATACAACTTTTACAAACAACTTATGATTCAAAATTTTCTTTATCGAAGTTGCGAAATTTACTTAAATTATAAATTCATCTTTCCAACTCTTTTGTAAATGTTAATTTTTAGAATAATGGAGTATAATGCATAAAACATTTGAGATGACGGTAACTGAAGTACGTAATTTATGATTTAAAATTCAAAAGTTCTATTCATATAAATTTCGCTTTATATAATTTTGAGAGAGTCAGAGCCGCTATATGTATGAGAGTCTCGCTTTTTTCAGTTACTATAAGTTTTCATCGCGGCTTGGAAAATATCCCTGTGGACAGATTGAGGTACTTTATATCTAACAATGGGAACGTGGGTATAATAGAAATACGCCTTTTATTTTAATAATAATATAATCCAAAGTCCTCTAATACAGTTGTCTTTTTGTAATTCTCTTCTAACCGTTTGTTTGCTTTAATCAAAAACTATCTACTTGAAAAAATGGTTATTATAATTGTAATATAATGTAGTAAGGCAGATTTAGAGCGTACAGTTCTATGTCTCCATTTACAATTAATCCTAAATTTTATTCAGGAACATACGACTGCAGGATTATCTGATGTAACATCTCACTAATTTCTCCATTTGAATTCAGTGCTGGAATAAACGAGCAGTTGAACGATATTATGTATTCCGAATAGCGAAACAGGCACAAATTATTCGGTTTCTTTAGTAATCGATTATGATTTTAATTTTAATCGTAATTACTTCTGAAAGCAAGGTTTTAACAAATTTCGGAATTATTTCTAGCTTTTTTGTATCGTAATGTAATAAACGGTTTGCAGTATTTGTTTTTAAGTATATTATACATTAATTATCATCGTCATAAGGTCGTCAGTACTAAGACTGTTTGGACACGTACAACATTTGAGATGACGGTAACATTGAAAAGAAAACATGAGTTTTTTACTTTTCGTGTAAATTATTGCATTTGTAATAATAGAGATAGAGACATATTTATTTTTTGTTTTTTTTTAATACAGATGCTTACGCTTGTGTTTTTGAAAGAAAGATATGCTTAAATATTTATGTGAAACCATTTCACAATCGAACCGATTGGTTTGGAAAACGATGCAGAAAATTTTGAGTTCTAAAAGTAAAAAAGAATGAAGGAACTAAAAACGGCGATTGCTCTTCTGATGTCCGGTGGGCTCGTCAGATGGCCGGAACAAACGTAGGCATGTTTGCTCATCAAGATTTAATCAAAAAGACTTGCAACCATTTGATCGAATTCGGGGAAAAAGATTGAAACAGGGTAGAATTTGTTAGCAATACAAAGGTCGTTCTGCTTTGTTCGGTATTGAGCATTTATCCTTTGTTGAACTCCTTCAAACCCTACCCCTTACTAAGGATCTATTTTTAATCTTTTTATTATTTTTTCAAAGCATTTTAGAGTGAGATTACAATATAGAATGTAGATTAGTCTAATTTCTAGCTGAAATTGTTGTCACCTTAGCTGTTGTTAGTTTTTATTTAGATACTATATTTTGCGCAGGGTCGTGTCGCCTTTAATAAAAAGAAGTCACTTCTATGCTCGCGAACGGTTAATTTAGAAATTCGAAAAAGGTTGTTAAAGGTGTATGTTTGGAGCACGGCGTTGTACGGGTGCGAAGCATGGACAATGGGAGCGGCGGAAAAGAAAAGGTTAGAAGCGTTCGAAATGTGGTGTTATAGGCGGTTGATGAGGATATCGTAGGTAGAAAAGGTTAGAAATGAAAAGGTATTGGAAAGAATAGGAGAACAGAGGACTCTATGGAAGTCAATAAAAAATAGGCGAGATAGGTTGGTAGGACACCTTCTCAGGCATGAAGGTCTAGTCAGAGATATATTAGAGGCAGAAACAGGAGTTAGGAGGGGTAGACGTAGACCTAGATTAGATTACTCTTCGCAAATAGTTAAGGATGTGGGCTGTTCTAGTTTAAGGGAAATGCGAAGTTTAGCTCGGGATAGGAAAGAGTGGAGGTACGTGTTCAACCAGTGTTAGGACTGATGACCTTATGATGATGATGATGATTTTGTTGTAACTGACTTTTTCAAAGGTTCAAAATTATTTTTTAAACAGAAATTTCAAACGAACATCTTTTGAAATTAAACAACCTTTGATATTCACAGCGAAAAGTTTGTAGAGGAAGCAGTAGCTGTAAAAAAGGTGATAATCTCCTAAAGACATACCATCGTGAATATTTTTATTTAACGAGATGTACACTTTTGAAAATTATCTTTTAGTACTAGCACTGGTTCCGGTTACTTCTTAAAGTTCTTTTTGCACGTTGAGGTTTCCATATTATCAACTATGATCAAAAAGCTTATTTTACATGTGATATTTCGGTTAGGCTTTCGGTGCTTCTACAGTCTTGCTTTTTCAATTTCGTGGGGCATCCTATAGGCGTATCTTAAATTTTATATTTACCGTATTTATTCCATTCCTGTTTTGTATCCATATGCTATTTAAATGTTCAGTTATTTTTAACCCGTTAAACTAATAGGTTGTTATGCCATCGATTTTTTGCACCCCATCTACATATATGTACACAGTAGATATATATGTTGCTCGTTTACATAGTAAACGTGCACCCCTTTAATTAGAGCGAGCTTCAGTGGATATTTCCTAATTATTAATTCAAATGCTTTCCGCATTTGCTGCCTAGTTTATCCATTAATAGGTGTAAAAGTAAAAAAAAAATAAAAATAGAAACGGGAAACACAACGCTAAAATTAAAATATTAAAGCTTTTAGTTCAGGTCACCCACATTATCAATTTAGTGTCTGTCCTATGTCCTATTAATTTTAGAAACGTTGTATATTATTTTAGATTATAATGAAATTAAATTTTGATTGATGTGTTTCATTTAAACTTCTCTTTAATAAATGGTCATTAAAAATAATTAATAGATATAATGTGTCCTTTAAACATTAATTTATATTCAGTTATTTCAGTGTGTTATTTATTTGTTCTATGTACCTACTTTGACGAAGCACGCAATATACCACTTATTTTATTTTTCTACCCCCCCCCACCTCCCTCCAAATTCGTGCATACGCTTTGTAAGCGATAAGGGCATTTTCTCCCCTGTTCTGCGTAAATGCAAATTGCATTATTCTGCTGTGATTGTTAGTTTATTTATAATCCAGGTAGGAAAACTACTTTAGAATTCCAGGTCACAGAATAAATATATATTGTCGAGTTCTTTTCTTCTTAGAAATCAAAATGTGCTTGTTTTTGGCTTGAGTTTTTTACTGTGAAAAATATAAATTTGGGGACTACTTTGGTAGCTGACTTTAATAATAGAGGAAGAGAAAACAGCCGAAAATGTTTTTCCGCAAAGGTCTGCTATCGATTTTGTGTAAGCAGATTATAATTTAATTTCGGAAATTTCTATCTGAAGAAGGAAAAATTTAAGAATTCCGACTATAAGACCAAATAATTTATTTATAGACTGTATGATAGTGAATTTAATAAATCAACTCAACCTTTTGCTAATTTCTCTAAAAAAAACTGTACCAGTCTATTGCCTTTTCAACAAAGTTTAGGTAAAGTTTTGGAAGTTTTGTCCAACAAATAAAACAGTTAGGTAGATGTATTTTTGGACTATATTTTACTTAATATAGTATACGAAGGTTGCCCATATAAATGGAAGATTATGTTCTTCAGTTCCATATGCATAACTAACCCTTTTCAAGAATGTTTTTGAGTGGTAGCTGTATGAAAATAAGTGACCATTTTAAGTTTCTAAATCAAATGCTTTCTGAGTAAAACTGCCTGGAGGGTAATATTTTGAACGTACCTATAAGAAAGGCAATTTTTTCGTGTCAGTTTTCGGGTATATTATATTAAAATGTCGTTTCCAATATAAAGGAACAAGGACGAACCTTACGTGCTCTACATCGAAAATTATAACACGCTGTCTATACTTATTCATCAAACGCTGTTAATGACAGCAGACATTTTGTCGGGACTGTCTACGGCGTGCTGATGAGACTCAATCGCGGTTTACGTGTAGTAGTTTCAATGGAATATTGAACAGGAACTTGACTTGCTATGTTTAGAAAACTTTTAATATTTTTTAAATACTCTTTGTATTATGACATCTTCCAGTTTTAAAATTACAATAAATGTACATCTATATGTATCTATGTCAGTTGATCGGGTCATTTAAGGAAATTGCATTTCCGGTTTGATATGTAAATGGTACTTCCACGCAGTTTGCATCGCTCTTGTTTTTTTAATTGAAATTAGATAAATTAAAACAAATCACCAGCAATTTTCTCGTAGTCTTTGCTACTTTTGACAATTGTAGTAAAAAAATTAATTTATTGATACCTAACAACAGTTGAGTACCTTGAACAATTTATAAAATTTAATTCAGGTTTCTCAACCTAACAAAATTGTAATTTTGTTATTTTTGTTTTGAGCATGTAACAAAAGATATTTCAAAAGATCAAATGACTTGACAACAAGATTTTCTACTACATCCACAAACATTTCGCAAAATTAAATGTAGTGAGGAGCGAGTAGAAGTATTCTCAAGAATACCTTTCCAGGTCAATGAGAAATTTTCTTGAAAAATTGACAAACTCCGGAGTAATTTGCTTTGTGAGAAGACAAATATACGCATATTCTGGTTTGTACAGAAACTCCTGTGTAAAGGTGATAGCCAGAAAATTAGTTTACAACGTTCTTTATTCTGTTTTTAAAGAAGTTTTATTGGATTTTCAGATATTAATACAATACGGGATGGTATAAAAAGGGCTTCCCAAAACGGGTTTGCTAATTTATGTTATTTATACCAAACAGGGGTGAATTTGGGTGTTGTTTTCTTGAATGATTTTGTATTTTACTTCATAAAAATCATGGAATAAAATCACAACTTATAATCAGTAATAAGAAAAATATATTACAGCTTCATATTGATGAGAGTTTGATCAAATAAAAGATGTAATTTACTGTAAAAGTCTTTTTACGTATGTTTATGAATTGGTTAAAAAATAAAATAAATACAAATTATTTTAAGGATAAAAGGAAATAAAAGGATTAAAGCTGAATAAAATTGACGTCATATTTTAAGGATTTACTTACAACTAGGGCAAATATGGAATAATCTCTAAGTACGTAAGTGTAATACAAAAACAACAGAAGTTTTTATTAATTTTTGTTTTATTATTTCTTAAGAATTAACTGTTACAGTTATTTTAATACTTTTTAAGCTAAGTGTGCATGAAATTTCATCAATCGTTTAAAAAATTATTCTCTTTTTACAATAGATGTAATTAATTATAAAACCGTATTATTATAAGTACGTATTTACTTTTGAGTAGATTTTAAACACGAAAAATCGCTTTACTGACTACCCTCTTTAAGCGGTAGTTTTTCAAAGTAGCAATTCATGAATTAAGCCTCTCCCCCGTTTTTGAAAATAAGAATTACAAAAGGAAATTATTACTGATATTTCGTGCAAAAACGAAATTGTGCAATATCGCAAAAAATTATAGAAAAAAAGGAATCTCCTACCTCGAAATTCGATTCTCGCCAATTTCTCTCCCTTGACTTTGGGAATATGAAACTGCTTCAGTTTGATAGATAGAGACATGACTACTACTACCCTACACGCGTTTTTCACCCGCGATTGATACTTTTATCCTGCTGCTGCTACCACGGAACTTAGCAGGAGGACTTGTTGATTAAAGGAGAGTCCTGCTACTCTCTGGATGCTTACATGACGGTTATTCTCCTGCTACCGAACGCACTACGAAACGTACCGAACGTGGGAGCTTTTAGGGAGTCGGTCAACATCGCCAGGACTACAGGCATGCAACAGGATTGGCTAAAGGAGCAGAAAATGTACAGTAGTAACTGGAACAAATGAAGCTCGCCAAATGTTAAGCTTTTAGTAGTTTTACATTCTAGAGAAACATCTGCACATAATACGATATTATTTAATGTTTTGTTGTTGTTTTCACTTGAAACAAGGAAGAAAAGTCACTGTAATATAAATTGATCCTTCAGGATAAATAGAGGGGAATCCCTGAATCCCCGATTTCATGGCTAGGGAGGACCTATTTTTATTCAATTTTAAGCTAATTCTATTCATTTCTGCAATAATCTGAAATGACCCAATTCAAAGGACAAATTTACAATAAAATAATGTTTCTTCTTTAAGTCGTAGGATATTTGGAACAATCTCGTGAAAGACCAAACTGTTCTATGTAACTGTACATAACCAAATTATTGTTATAGCCAATACATTGTCGATCTTATGGCGAACGCATTTATTGTCCTTTTTTCTCTGAATCCTTTCTTACTTATAGAATGCTAAAGCATGCGGTAGAAACAACAAATCCATAGTAATATAGAAGTTCGATAAAAGAGTCAAAATTATAATCCCAAAAGGGCCGTAATAAATTATTTATAGAGCCAGTATACGTTCTGTAATAAGGAAGAAAATGGCATCCTTGTTTCAGTTATTAGCTGGTTCCGTAGTTTATTTTTATTATGAACAGCTAACTGAAATAAGGATGTACATTAGTTTTTATGGTTCTATAATTTATTACAACCCCCATGAATTGTTTAACTTTTGACTTTTTAATTTTAAAGGAAAAATTACGTTGTATTAACGTAAATAACTAGGATGAAAATAATCAGCATTTTCTGGATTTTTTCAATTTCATATACGCTTGTAGAAAGTTAATTTCTTTTATTAGGCTTCCTACTGGTTTATGAGGATTATAATCCTTAAATATTTATCTTTTCTTACGTACATTGTAGTTTATTGGTAAAAGTTGACATTGTTTTATTCTTTGTAAAATTAAACATAACAACGACGTGACACCAATTATCCTTTTATTCAATTTGGGGTATTTTGGACATACATTTTTGACTATTTTTTTCCTTATTGTGTGTAATATTTATATCCTTTTATTTCTTCTAAATTGAATTAACGAAAATAAATTAACAAAGTATTTTACTGTAACAAATCATACCCTTAATGCGTCCTAAACAGTTACATTAGAAATGTTAATTTAAAAATTAATATTTGGCTTTGTTGCAGTTTATCTTCTCGGAATAATGGGAGGAGTTCCTTCGGAACGTTCCTGGTAGTCTCTTCTAACGCAATGACAGAGATACAGGGGTGAGTAATTTTTTACTTTTTTTTTATTTTGTTATACCATTCAGGTATTTTTGTAAAAGAGACCATGCAATAGATTTCTTTTTCATATTTAACCTTTATTTCAGTTAATAATTTCTAAGATNGATAATTTCTAAGATCAGTTGTCTTTAAATTTTTATTATTGTTTTATATTTTAGTTTACTTTCAGTTTCAACTTGAGACGGTCTTTCGTTTAAAGCCATGCTCAGATCTTTAATACATTTTTATCATTCGTAATAATACGATGTTCTTTATTTTTAGAGAAAAGGAGCGCATAATTCCTGATTCCGATGCCGGAATTTACAGAATGACGATGTCGCCCAATGGTCATGCATTGCCACCAGACACTGTTAACGAACCAAACAAATACCACCGAAAACAGCCGGAAACTAACAGAAACTCACCTTCCAGGAAAGAACAAAGCACTCCCATCAAACGATCATTTCAAATAAACTCATCACGAAAATCTCCTCAGTTCTCTGCGGACGTATCAGATTCTCCAATTATCAAAAATAATTCTTCACCACAAGTACTTTGTTTCTTTTGCAATTTGCTACCACCGTTAAAAGTTATCGAAGGATTGCAAATGATATAGAGAACCGAAGTGGTATTGAGGGTGAACGTTTGTACAACGGATAAACAGCAGCTACCACCAACTCCTTTGCCAACGAGGAAAAAGCTCAAAGAAGAAATCGAATGCGAAAAGCTGTCACAAGATCTCATTATGCAGTTGTCTCATACTGTTAAGTTGAAGCGTCTCTTAGGTAAGTATGTAGTTTGGAGAACTGCTAAAAAATTCTTCCCCAAAAGTCCGAAATGGAACTAAATTTATTCTATTTTGCTTTTTTTCAGTGTCAGGTCCAAAACATAAAAAGCCTACGAACTATGTGAGAGGACTTTTTCGTCCTGAAGTCATATCCAGGTCAAAGTCAGCTAGTTCCTACTTGCGAAATTGGAACAATTCGCCTCCTGATAGTAGTCCTTCTTCTTCAGTAACTTCTTCCACAGGTCATCTACTTGTAAAAACAAGTAAGTCGCTTTCAAAATAATTAAACAACTGATGCTTTAATTTCACTACAGTTTTATCTTTAAACTTTCTTAAGGATCTCCTCTATTTACATGGTCATATTAGTTTATATACATGGTAGAAGTATTACATTAAGAAAATATGCTTTCAGATCTAATTCAGATTTTTATTTATTTATGTGACATGCACGATCATCTATATCGTATAAAATCATATCCAATTTCTTGACCAGCGTAAAATAATTAACAATGTGTTTAAGATAATAGATCTGTATAATTCATTAAATTATCTCAGAAAAAGTTTTACAGTACCATGCACCTACTTCGTAGGGATGCCAAATTAACTACATCTGAATACTCTTTTATAAGATTTCATTTTACAGGGACATTATAAAAGCTCTGGAGGCCATGTGTTATGGGGCACATCAGTCCTTGTTCACTCCTGGATGTAGTGGTGTCTCAAGGAAGGATTAATGGAAACAGATGCTGTATGTTGCTGTTGCTAATGAATGGATTTACAAAAATGAATTGGTAAATAACAGCATTGATTAAGATAATAGATCTGTATAGTTCATTAAATTATCTCAGAAAAAGTTTTATAATATCATGCACCTACTTCGTAGGGATGCCAAATTAACTACATCTGAATACTCTTTTATAAGATTTCGTTTTACAGGGACATTATAATAGCTCTGGATATCATGTGCTGTGGGGCGTATCAGTTCTTCTCGCTCCTGGATATAGTGGTGTCTCAGAGAAAGGATTAATGGAAGCAAATGCTACATGTTGCTGTTGCTAATGGAAGGATTTATTACAATGAATTGGTAAGTAACAACATTGATTAAAGATAGTAGATCTGTAATATTCATTAAATTATCTCAGAAAAGATTTTACATTACCATGCACCTACTTCGTAGGGATACCAAATTAACTACATCTGAATACTATTTTATAAGATTTCATTTTACAGGGACATTATATATAAAAGCTCTGGACGTCATGTGTTATGGGGCATATCAGTCCTTCTTTTCACTCCTTGATATAGTGATGTCTGAAGGAAGGATTAATGGAAACAGATGCTGTATGTTGCTATTGCTAATAAAAGGATTCATAAAAATGAATTGGTATGTACCAACACTGATTAAGATAGTAGATCTCAAATATTCATTAAATCATCTCAGAAAAAGTTTTATATTACCATGCACCTACTTCGTAGGGATGCGAAGTTAACTATATCTGAATACTCTTTTATAAGATATTTTTTCAGTGCCAGGTCCAGAACATAAAAACCCTACGAAGTATGTGACATACATGGTAGAGGTGTTACATTAAGAAAATATGCTTTCAGATTTAATTCAGATTCTATTTTTATTTATTCATGTGACAGGCACGATCATCTATATCGTATAAAATCATATCCAATTTCTTGACCAGTCGCGTTTATTGTAAAATACTTAACAATGTGTTATTAACTAGGTGGGCTAAATTAATTATTAAAGGAAACGAAAGTAAAGTTTCTAAAATATATATTAATTGTTCACAACATTTGTTTCACCATAGCATTAGGATAAATACTAAAAGTTTACAAATATTGTGGCTGAAGGTAAAATATTAAATATTTTACTAAATGATCAAATTGATGTAAATAGATCTCAATTATGGAATTTAAATTTGTCTTCAGAAACTTAATGTCTTACCTTATTCCTCCCTTTCGTTGTTCCCAGCCCATAAAATTTGTCAACTTTTAGTATTTATGCTAATTTTGCAACAATTTTAATCAAAGTATCTTCACCTGAAGAAGCCAATGTTATAGTGAAACAATTGTTGTGAACAATTAATATATATATTTGAAAGTTTACATTCGTTTCTTTTAATTGATTATGGAGTTTCAACAAGTAAAGCCTTCTACCATTAAATATTATTTTTTATTGACTTCCACAACGCCCTATGTTCACCTTTCATGTTCTCATACCTCTTCATTTCTAACCTTCTCTATCCAAGGTATCCTCGTCATTCGTCTGTAATGCAAGGAATTTTAAATTGAAGTTTTAAAACATATATCTATATACCATCAAATGTATTTAAACATATAACGTGGTAAAGTCTTTAATCATAAAATATAATTGAGTTTTAACACGTATTTTTAATTACTAATTTAACCTTTCGAATCAAAAGTAATTACCCACAAACGTCTTAAGTTAAAA